ATATAAATCATTTTACATATTTTACTATTTTATTTGACCATTTAAAAAAAATATTATTCCTTATACATTTTGTATAATAAATGAAATGTTTTGCCAACCGACAAAATGGCGGTCGTCCACAGCTGAGCTTATACTAAGGTCTATGTTGGCACCAAGTAATTTTGTTTTTCGTATATAAAATGTTTGATTATGAATTATTTTAGAGATAATTTTTCCTAAAATTATACGGTCATGTTGATACTGTTTTATTATCAATCTTGATGTTACTATATTATTTATTTGATAATTTTGCTATTCGATTTCGTAATGGAGCAGGTTACTGGTTAGGTGCCAATAACTATCAAAAACGAATTCTTAAGGTTCCAATAACTATACAAGTTACCCTACTATAATAATAACACGATTTAAGATATATCTTAAATAGTTAAATCGTGTATAATATTATGTTGAGGGCACGAACTAGTCCGTTGATGAGGGATCTGATAATTATTTAAATTTTGAAATTATTAGGTACCATAAAAAAAAAATATTTTTTGTCAATCAAATAAAAATACACCCAACAGCTAAATACCATTTTACATAGATAGCCAAGAGCCGATAGGTACATTTTCATTGTCCATTATAAAATATCCTGTGGTTTAGTCCTGCTGCAGTGCATATCTCATTTTAAAAATAACCGTACGCGGAAACATAATATTATAATTAGGCATTATTTTTATTTTTTATTATTACAGTGTGCACTGTACACAGTACACAATTACCTATAATATACATATTTTATACCTACCTATAATTGTTGTGTTTTTATTCCTAATCATCAATGTAGTAGTAGAAACATAAAATATATCACTATTATAGGTACATTAAACATTTACGTAATTATTATGCTTATTATTACGGCTTAAATAGATAAGCTTACGTAGGCCTATACCCATTACCCATTACTTACCCATATAATAATAATATAGGTACACGTAATACTACTGCACTGACCTATTGCTGCAGACACGCACACAGTCACGTCCACTCATAGGCGCCAGGTTTCAAAAAACTTAATGGGTGCCTTGGTATCGTTGGTATCATACTAACATAGGCATAAATACATAATTTTGGGGGAGGGGGCTTAGCCACTGGTCAAGACAAGTTTCCCCGTAAAATTTAAAAAATGGAATTGTCTTTTCAGGTGGGGCTAGTTGCAATTTAACCCCCTAAAATTTTAATTTTGGCTCTCCAAATTTCGCCTATAGGTGTCATGATTCTACTACTTCACCAAAAACGTTTGCATTTTCTTATGGATTTTTTTGGTGTATACAAATATTAAATTATAATATTTACCATGTTGTACACTGAAATATGCGATCATCATTGATTATAAAATATATTAATTATACAACAAAATAAATGTATACCAAATTGGGAACTTATTTATAAATAATAATAATAAGTAAAACAAAAAATAAAATAAATTTAATTTGACTGTTAAGAAAATAAATATGCTTTGACGTACCTACCTATTATTATAATTGAATTTATAAATGAGTTAGCTCTTAGCTATCAATGTCTATATCTTCATTACGACGGACAAACAATAAAGCAAATATCATTAAAACGATTTTGTTTCATTGTAGACCTTAAAAATGTTTTTAATCTTCGAAGTGCTGAAAAAGATCATTCAGAAATCAGAAGTACAAGACGATACCGGAAGCGGAACAGCCAAAATAATAATAATTTTTATAATTGTCTCATCAGCCATAGATAGATTGTTGATGGATACCTCGGTTGTGATTGAATATCTACCACGATGTAGGTTAGTGGTTACAAAAACAGTACTATCTCAAGGCGGGTTTCCACTATATACAGTGTATATTATACACGTTTGCTGTGTACACGAAAAATGTTCGGCTATGTAAAACCACACGGTATCGTGATTCGTGGTTAACCGTGTGGTAACTTAACCTAACCAACCAATCACGGCAAAGGATTTGTATAAACGTTCACATGAACGTGTATAGTGGCAACCCGCCTTTACATTTTATTATCAATACAAATAGGTAATACAATTTATTTTTGTTTTCAAAATTGCAATTTTTATCACAGCTAGAATTGTATTTCAATAGTCGTTTGCTAAAATTGTCAAAACTTGGATATAAATACACTCTATACATTTTCAATATTCTAATGGGTGCCCGGCACCCCATAATAATTTTAATGGGTGCTTGAGCCCCCGGGCACCCATGTACCTGGCGCCTATGCGTCCACTTTATTTTTAGGCGTACCATACGCGCTCTATAACCGATAGGGCACCTGCTGGAATAATCTGCCCAATCCGCGGTATGCCGGCGTCAACCCAGAGATATAAAATGTTTAATGTACGATATAATATAATAGTATAATACACTTACACACGCCACACGCGTTCTGCATGGTGCAGAGTGTGGATAATGGATATATTTAAATCTAACATAAATAAACGTATAATAATAATAGTAATGTATGGTAATAAATAATAATAGTATGGTGGGTGCCGGGGTGTCACTATGTCGCCACGACGCGGAGTAGTAGTCGTGGTATAACCATATGTCTATGGGGGTAACTGTCAGCGTGATAGGTATACCGGTAGTCGGTAAAAGTAACCCAGTGGTGCATTTACGGGGGAAGGGGTCTAGGGGTAATGGACCCCTCGACACAGATTTATATATTCTTAAAAAATACTATCAATACGGGCATGTACCAATTGCCCCCAAACTACCTAGAGCAAAATGTATTAGTTGCCCTCAAATGTAAATATATATACGATTACAATATATAGGCCGTAAAATAGGTGAGGTAAATATACAAATAATAATTATAAATAGTAATTATTAAAACAAAACATAGTACATAATATTATATATCTAATTTTTTTACTATTTTTTTATTTTGAAAAATTATCACATTAAATATGGCGCTTTTCATTATAATTATATTTTTTATTATGAATTTGTTCTATCATTTTATACCTACTATTTTTTTTTTGAAAAATTATAAAATTGAATGTCACATAATTATAATATTTATATTATTTTATTGACTATTGTCAATTGTATTCAAATTAATAATTATTTTGTTAGTAATTATTATTTATTATAAAATACATTGTTAGGTATATATTCCAATCATATGAATTTTTTCTATCATTTTATACTATTTTAAATAATTTTATTTGTTATTTGTATACTTACATAGTTACATCCCCTATTTTACGGGCTATATATTGTAATCGTGTATTCGTGTATATAGTATATATATATTAACATGTAAATGCAACTGGTACATTTGGTTGAAGGCAACTGGTATATTTTTAAAGTCCCGATAACAGCCTTGGGGGGCAACTGGTCAACACCCTTCAATACTTGTTTTTTATAAAAATAGAATTAATACCTTTGAAAAACATTTTATTTTACCACGAAATAATGTTGAAAATTCGCCAATCAGCGGCAACTACTACTGTAGTACTATCTATATAGTAGGTACCTACGAGCGGTATAATATATGAACAATAAAGTACATTGATTTATGTCTTTATACGGCGATTACTCGAAAGACTGTAATTTCTCCGACCATAATTTGATATTGCTTATTGATACACATAATATTATATAAATATGTATTAATTAATAACATTATGTCATGTATTCTTGCACTTAATTATTTCTATGATTCTAACAAATGTGGCTTATATGTATATTATAGACCCATCGTAAATACTAGTATACTATACATGTCTACATAGAGGTTAACATTTTGGGGAGGTGCAAAACTAAACTCAAAATCACCCATCCACATTATACGTCTATACTTACCCAGATACTCATTATACATAATAGTATAATACATATTATACCATATTACCATCCGATATTCTAGATATTAATATTAATTAAGTATGAACTATTAACCATTATTGCCGATTGTTCTTACAATTTACATTGGAGATGTGACTTTATATTTTCTTATATTATATTGAATATTCATGTCATGTAGTATTGTAATCCTTAACTAAGTAAACAAATCAAAAAAATAGTGTATCCAATCACCCAAAATTCTTTATACGCACTAGTATGCACAATGCACTATATATACGCACAATACGAACTCACAACTATTATCTTAACGGTTTTTCAATAAATTATCATTGTAAATTGATCTACCTGTAAGGCAACGTAACACAGCGAGAATAAAAACATAAAAAACTATTTGCTGTGCCCTCTCCCCACTTTAACCCCATTTAGCCCCCTTGTTACGCTATTAGGAAGGCACTGCAGCGTAGGTATATGGGCATTTATAAGAATGTGCATAGAAATTTAAGTTTTCCAGCTTAAATTGCTTATTCGTCGTTGTTTACACCGCAGACAGCTATGCTTGCGTATAAAATAATATATAAATGTCCCGACTCCCGAGTAATAATAATATTATGTGCCGAGATCGGTGGCGGCGGTAGCATGAGCAAAGTTTATTTATACCGAGACGGGCAGTCATGGGCGGAGCGAAATCCCAGCAAAGAATCACGTCTCACGGAATACATGTTTATGGTATGTATATATATATATATAGGTACGTATATGTATTTATATTGTTCGTATCGAAATGGCCTAACGAAAATAATGCACGGAATAAATGTGTGTGTGTGTGTATGTGTCGGCCGTCGAGCTCAGTGCGCGAGTTTTCGCCAAACGACTCTCTTTATAAACGATGATAGCGCCACGATGACGATCGAGAACAGGTAAAACGCCATTTATAGAGGAGGTGCCCAACATTTATTTTTTACACGACCGTCATAAAAACTATACGTATATTGTAGAACTGTATATAGGGTGGGTGCATAATATATTATTATTATAGTGTGACGGAAATATTATTAAATATCAATAAGTAATCGTATGTGTGTATAACGGAAACGAATTGTACGCGAGTGTGGTTGTGTGTGTTGTTATTATTTTTTGAAGATTAATTCGCGAAAAATGCAACACGTTAAACCATCCGCGAAAGGCGACCCGCTGTGTCCGCTCGGATTCCACCCGCAAGTCCGATGGCCGACCAGATGCAAACGGTGTTTCAGGTGAACCATATTTGTATAATTATATTATATAATATTAAAATTAAAATATAAGTTAGTACTATAAAGGTTATGGCCTATTAATATACCTATTATATAATATATCTCAGTGGCGTATCCAAGATTTTTCCTTGGTGGAGGGGGGGCTAATAATATGTTTAGGTACACAGAGTTAGTTTAACTAGGGTCTCCCATAAGTTTAGCATAGGTACTTATATACTGAGGTCTTAATTTTAGGTTTCAGTTCCTGTACGGCTATACAAATTTGTATTGACAATAACTTTCATAAACTATGGAAATAATTTTTTACGATTTTCTTAACATTTCGATTTTCGGCTGGAGACTAGGCTTCCGGCTACCCCAGCACCTCCTTGGATACGCCTCTGCGATATAACTATGTATACATAATACATATATATATATATATATATACATGGGCGGATAGGTACTTTTTTTTTACCGGGATATATTTATTGGGGCCTCATATAACTAGGGCCTATATATTATATATATAAAAAAAAAAAAAAATGCTCGCTTCGCTCGCAATACCTTTTACAATCAAATCATATTATATATTACGTACTAAAAAATAAATTAAAAAAAATTATATAATTATTAAAATGATAACAAATTTTTAAATGTACTATTCCTAGCAGCTAATTTATTGATCACATCATTTGAATCAATTGTACTCACTAAATCTTTTTCAACATTCATAAGCATTAAACTTTCTAAAATGTCTTGGCCTAATGTATTTCTCAAGAAGTTTTTTATATATTTCAATTTAGAAAAACTCCTTTCACATCCTACTTGTGTCACGGATAATGTCAGCATTAGTTTATACGCAACAAACAGACTGGGATATGCATTTGTGTATAAGTTGTACTTCACGAGCACATCAAAGCAACAAACTACACAATATTTTGCATTAGTGTTTGGATTATGACTACACGATACTAAAAGTTCATCATCATTTGAACATTCTAAAAAAACAAAATTAAAAATTAAAATTATATTATCAATATTAAATAGGTAGGTAAATTAATATATTTATAAATAGTTATTTTTGTTATTACCATCAATATTTTCATCATGGTCTTGTAGTTCAGTATATACACAGTCAATATTTTTTTTTATTTCTTTCCATTTTGATATGAAGTCTATACATTCATTTCGAAAGTCTTCATACATAATTCCTGGACAATAATTGCAAATCTTGTCAAACACACCAATAAGAGCATTTTTTGGAAGTGTTACATCTGGTTTGAAATTATTAGGGTCAAGACATGCAAAATCTGCACATAACTGTCCATGTTTTTCGAATCGTGAAGAAATGCTCTCAATAACAGTGTCCAGTACTTGATTGTAAATATTAACTTCATATGAATGCAATGGGTCTGTTATAGGATCATCATCTGCCTCATAATCATGAAATTGCTTAGTTTTTTTTTTTTTACGAGATTGTGGTAGACTATTTGCGATTTCTATTACATTATTATTCATTTTTTGAAACATTTATTACGATACAATATATTTATATAAACGTAGATACCAGATACGTCATAAGTAGTTATAAGTTATAGTTATCACTCATGGAAAATGTAATTTATGTCGATATACTTACCTATATATAACCGATTGATTATTATTTATTATTATGGTTGTTTATTTTTGTCATTTGAACAACGAACATATTTATTTATATTTACATTTTATACATTATTTAGTTTTAGTAGCATTATAGTAAATACAACAAAATAGGTACATATTATACATTTATACGGGTATCAACGCGTATTACACAGAGGCCCCTAATAGCTAATGGTATATACAAAAATTACAAATACGCAGCCGCCAGCCGGAATTATTTTACAGTCTCATAAAAATTAATTTTTTTTCGGGGTTGGGGCCTCAGAGCATAATATTGATGGGGGCCTACCGGGAAAATCCCGATTTCCCGATAGGCCTATCCGCCCATGTATATATATATATATATATATGCCTACAATATGATTTATTTGGCGATCTTTGTATTTTCATATTTATAGTGTATTAATGTATACCTATATCCTTTCGGCTTCCAGCGGCGTCGAATGGAAGGGGGCCAAACATTACAAATCTATTATTATATAGATTATTATATAACATATTTTATTGTATGGTGCAGAAAGTAAAAACCAATTACAGGGTTCAAAATCAGGAAAAATACTACCAATCGTTTGATAGATGGGAATCATTACACTAAATTAAAAAAAAAAAGACTGACTATAAAAATCGATTTTTTTATATTTAACATGCTTTTACAAGGGTGGGGCCAAATATAATAATTTTATAATGTTTATGTAAAGGGTAACCATATACGTTACCATATGGTGAGGAAGAGTCAGACCTGGTGTGTATCTCCTTCAGTGTGCCACTGCATCTTTCAAGATCGGGAGGTGTTAATTGTTAATTTTAATGTTATATTGATATTATGTTGTACGTTGTTATATTAACAAAGAAATAAAATAAGTAAAAGTTATAATAAGAATTATAAGACATGCCATCTTGATTGATAGGAGTGTCAGGTGACAAAACTTGAAGTTTCAGAACCCAGTATCAGTATATATCTAAAGTATAGGCGGGTATATATATATTTTTTTTATATAGGTATTATATATTATTATTTATATATTATATATTAGCTTATTGCTTGTAGTTATGCACAGGGGCGTCATTTCATTTTTTTTTTGTTGGTGAGAAAATGTTTGTAGGCCATTCAAATCATTACCAGCCACAAAGAAAACTTTTTTTTTGGGGGGGGGGGGTCAAGTGGGGACAAAAACTGTAGAATATTTGTATAATTTATTTAATGTCACTTATATTAGTATAAAAATATCACAATAATGTTACATATTTGACGAACTATGTGTAGGTACTTATAATGTATTTATTCTATATTGTGTATACTAGTGTACAGTGGTATTTACACTTGGTAAAATAAATGAATGAACATATAACACCTTTATAATAAAATACCTAATCGAACCTAACCTACACATTTGTTCTCCCTGCATACTCAAAATATATAATGTAGCTAGCTTTATAAAACCAGAAATTTATTTTATTTGTACCCTTCCTCACAGTGTTTGCGTTATAATTTTATCAATTATAATAATATGGGACCACAAAACCACAATCTTGGAAAATGAGTACCTACAATACATTTCTTTTTAATACTAAAAAAATATAAAATATATATAATATAAAACACTTAGGTATATCGGAGCTTGTATTTATTGTTGGCAGGCCAAAGAAGGCGTCTTAGAAAAAAGTTGGTGCAAATGTACACCTTTCACCCCCCCCCCCCCCCCAAATGACGCCCCTGGTTATGCAGGATATTGTGTATAATGTATTAAAGTTAAGCAGATTACTCTTTTATAATTTTATACAAGACAATAAAATTAGTTATTTTTATTTCGGTAGCATAAGTGTATATGTAGTTTTAAAAAATTCTAAAGATCACATATAGTGTCATACTGAACACGTTTATATGATTGATCGCCGATCGTTTTTTTCTTTATTAATAATGTACATAATCTGTACACAATAAGGCACAATAAGAGTATGGGCTATAATACAAAAGGAAGAAAACTGATGATACTTTCGTATTTAATCATTTAAATATTTTACAAAAAAAATTTTTGTGGCACCTTATCAGTTATCAGTCCTCCTTATCGCCCTTTAAGACTGCTATATAAAATGCAAATAAATGCTATACAAATTAGGTCTTATCTAAATGAGCAGGGGGGTGTGCCCCCCCCTGTGGGCGGCCTTGTATAAATGTAGAACTAAATAACACTCAAAATTTAGAAATTTAGAAACACCAAAAATAAAAAAGTTGTGCAAGTGGGTGTCGCTCTGCTGTACAGTAGGTTACTAGTGTGTCACTGTAATGGATAGTGTTAAGTTTGAATTCAATGATATAATAATATGGCAATATCATTTATAAGAAAAACGATCTGAGCGAAGAAGTAGGCTGACTATCTATGATATTAGTGATATTACTAAGTATATTTGATAATATTAATGTGAATAAAGTAATTTATATATAACATATTTACGTGGAACCTTGTTTTAAATTTTCAATACTTAGCCATAAAAGTTGAACATTTTATAATGGTGTTTAGAAATTGAAAATATAAACATTCAGTTAAATTTTCATATATCTACAATAAATTATTCGTTTTTGAATTAAAACAATATAAGAAAATGGCTACATGAGAAATCGAGTGAATATCCAACGCTTATAAAAATTTAATTTGACTTTCTTGTAGACATTTTTTTTGATAAAGGTAGACAAACTCTTGAGGAATCTTGTATTAAATTTTCCAATCTTAGATTTAAAAATAAAAATTTTATGAATTTCTTACTCAAAATAATTTGCACAATTTCGTCATTTTTACGTATTTTGCCAAGGTTTGAACTTAAAATGCTTATAAAAATAAATTGTGACTATGGATTTTTAATATTTTTTAAATATCATTGTAACTATATATTAGATGCATTGTATTAAATTTTCAAGTTTTTTTATTCGAAAAATACAATTTTATTGACATTTAATATTTATAGAAAAAAAACGCAAAAGAATTTGGAAATTAGAAACTGAAAATGTCCGTAAACAATTCAAAACATATCAACATTTTTTGAAAATTGTCTCATCTATAAAAAATGATAATATAAACAACCAGTAAAAATGTCTTGCATATACTGTAATTTGTTTTAGAGTTACACCAAAAACAAAAATCGATTTTGTTGAAAACTGATTTTACTTAAAAATTGTTGTTTTTCCTTAAGTTTTTTTTTGTTTTTCCCGGCGCTTTTGAATACTACTGGGTATTTTAAATTTTGACCTACCCAATGGACCAATTAGATTCACTTTCCCATCAAACAAGATACTGGTGAAGACAATCTAAGCATTTTTACTGTCCTAAAAGGTGATGACAGACACAAACAAAAATATATATTAAAAAATGTAAAATTGTAAAATCAAATATATTAATCGCTCCGCTCAGAATCTAAAATGTTGATAAGAATAAATTCAAATGAAACAAAATATATTTATGAGGTACCTTTGATGACGATTAATGAATACATTTTTCTTAACTTAATATTAAATGAGATAAATAAAAAAATAACTACCAAAAATTTGAAACCATTTGGTGACTAATTTTTAATAATTTTATGTATGGACTACCTAGTGCAGCGCTATTACAGTATGCACTATGCGCCAAGCACCTCTCTAATTATGCTTCTGCGCTTCAAATTATCTTCAATATTACATTTTCTATGTTGAGACGAAAAATGTAAATGTTATATTTATTTTAAACAATATAACATAAAATACGTTTTATTTTACACTTATTTTTAATTAATAAGTCGATTTATATATATTGTAAGAATTTGTTCAAAATTTTAATTATTTTAAATATTTTAATTGACTTAATTGATAAAAAAAATATAGGTGCCTACCATCATTATAGAAAATACATTATAAAAATGTATTTGCTATAAGATACAAAGTTAAAATTTATTAAGGACTTACACTATTTATGTTTCCTGCAGGGACTATAAAGACCATTCTAACAGGAATAAGGATAATGGCAAGTCATCGCTTAGAAAAGATGATACTACACTATCGACTCCTACTTTAAATAACGAGTTAGTTAAACATTTATATTATAGTTAGCTAAGAAAATGTACAAGCAAACCGTAATTATTAATTTAGGGCAACAAATGAGTCAACAAGTTTGAAAAATATGTCATCAGACATAACAAACAATGGTAAAAACTATTACAACGTAGACAAAGGTGGCGGATCTAGTCGAAAGACTACATCATGGACATCGACGCCCGACTTGACAACACTTTCAGATAGTGTTACATCTCAAGTTGAAAATTTAGAAGGTAATTCTATCTTCTAAAAGTACAATTCTTCAGTACTATGTACTTAATTATAATATTGTTTATTTTTATTCTAGATGACGAACAGGCCATTCCAGAATATACAGTTCGAAGAAGAACAAATCTTTCTCGCAAGGATTCTATGGATGTACATAGCCCAAGAAATAGTTACAATGGAGATATCGCCCAATATACACCGGTGCATGTTAATATCATCATAACAATGTTAATATTCACTTGGGAAGTCAAAATTTCACAAGGGTTATAGTTTTAAATTGATTTATTTTAGATGAAATCAACTCCAGATGATAAAAATATGTATAACGATGATGAAGATACTATTAGTTTAGCTGATTCTGATACTACAACTGATACTTATGCGACTATTATAAATGATGAAGATTTACACGTGAGCATAATACATTAATAATGTAACATTATACGTGTGTAATATATTTTAGTAAAGTAACCAATTAATATGGATATCCAATAACGTGTGTAATTTCAGGACCAAGTATTGCATTTAAAAGCTGAATTAAAATTGACTAAAGCAAAATGTGAGAAAGCTGAACGAGAAAAGAGTGATGTTTTATTAAGACGACTAGCGTCTTTGGATACAACTCCGACATCTCGTACAACAGCTTCTGAAGTAAAAACAAAACAATATAAAACAAAGACAAATTTTAATAACATTAATTATAATAGTTGTTGAAGCACCAACAAAAAATAAATGATTTGAAGTCTACTTGTGAAAGTCTCGGTGATGAAAAGAGATTACTTACACAACGTGTTCATGAATTAGAAGCTGAGCTCAATAAAAACAAGAATACTAAAGTGAAGTCAGACGATGCGCAACTGATTCGCTCTAAGCTAATAGCTGCTGAAACTAAAATTGAGGATTTAACAGAAGAAAACAATGATTTAAATAAAGAAATACATAATATGGAGCAAGAGATGAGAGATAATTTTCGGTACATTAATATATAATTTAGAATTACTTTTTAATCCATTAACTACCTTACAATAATATTGTATACGTCTTATGATTAGTGGTTTAAAGGATAACTGCCATTTTTTACTCCTATGGCCTATGGGTTATGGACACTTTTTATCTTGAATACATATTATAATGGCATAATGACAGTATTGCACTAAATATAAAAGTTTGTAATGTAGATGATTGCCTATACACAACTCCTTAAAATTGGCCGTGCGTACCGCAGCCCTCGCTAGGCCTCGTTAGTGCCGTCAATTTTAGCTCTGAAGACCTTAAGTTTTGACAAAATTAAATTTACTTTATGTTGTCCAATTTTGATACAAAAAACAATTTGAACTTGACAGAAAATTGTCCATTGGTCGAACGGAAAATTTTGTAAAAATGAAATTATTTTATATAATTATTATTTATTGTTAACTCAGAACTGTAATAGAAATCTTGTGAATATGAATTTTTTCCAATCGTTAATCACAAATCATAATTAAAATTAAAAACGGAAAGTGCTTTGTCGTCAGACATTTTTCTGATGAATTCAAATATTTTGTCGGAATCAAAATCAGACAACGTTACCTATCTTTAACTTTATCAAAACAATAAGTAAGTTGTCAAAAATGTCGTTTAGTGAATTTTTATTGTTATCGAGTTAATGACATATGCATGTGCGTACGAGATCGGTACCCACTTAAACTTCACTATAAACTTAGTTTATACTGTATTACTAACACATAGATCCCGGGCGACTAAAACGAGATTAGAAATTGCTTATAAATTAAAATATTATGTTCCTTCGTTAAATAATAGCCGTAGAGACCCCTTAACGACATAAATGTATAAACATTGTTCCATAATGATTTCTTAACTATGCAGACTGCACTACTAATTACTATCCAGTATTCACAATGTTTTATATTAATTTATTCTAAGAGTTGAATCCATATTTTATTCTAATAATAATTATTAGTGATAATTTATTAGAACATATAATATTATTATTTATGGGTCATAATTTATTTTATATTCTGGGCGGAACCTATGTATATGTACTGGTTTTATTGTGGTGTATTTTTTTCGCCTTGACATCACCTTTAGAAGCAGTTTATTTATTGTAGGTGGTTTCTAAACAAAAGTGTGCATTTTTACGCAAAACGAGTTTTTGACAAAATATTTTGTTTTGTTGTGTAATTAAAAATGAATAACTGTAGATACTTGTGATATTCAGATTGGCATTTAATAGACATAATATAGTTTTAAAAATATTTTGTCTCTGTGCTTTTTAGTATTTTTGGCACATTTATATTTGAAATGTTCAAGTTACTTTTAGTTTTTTTCTATTTATGTATAATATTAATATATGTTTCCTCATTAGTGTTTCCTTCATATCCTAATTCCCAATCAACAACTTATCAAAAATAGACACAATTTTTTGTACAAATGTTTGCCGCTCAAAAGTTCAAATTTTAACAAAATTCATTAAAATAATGAACATTTTCAAATTGTTTTATAAAAATTTGTCATTTATTTAATTTTAGCCCTTATTTTGATACATGATTCCTCCTAAATTTGTTTGCTGGAAATTAAAAAAAAAATTTAGTGTAAAGTCTCAATAGTTTTTTATGAGTGATTAAAGTTCAAATTATGATGAATTGGATATTCTACATTTTAAATGTATAATAACGATTTATCTTCATCCAATTGTTGTTATTTAAATATTATTCCAAAAATATTATTCATAGGAGTTGACATTTTTGATCCTATTTATATATATTATTATTTAGTCAAAACAATGACATTTTCAAAATATTTAAATTTATTTTTATCTTTTTATACTATGAGCAGTACATTGGTATTGACTTAAAAGTTCATAACAGTTAGTAATATTAAATTCAATATTATTTAATATGTGCCATTTTTTGTCAAAAATGTATTCAACCTTTTGAATTATCAATAGAAACATAAATTACTATATTTAATAGCAGTATAATTAATATATAATAAAATATCCTTAGAATTATAGCCTGAGAGACCGTTTCGGGTTGAACCATTTATCATACGGCATGTCCAATAATTTTGAAAAGTACTTGAAAATCTTTCTTTTAAACTAAGTACTCAGAATCTAAATTAATAATTAAATTAAATTTACACATTTTTAAGATTGCCAATAAATTCGTTTTTTGATATGTAGGTACTTTTTATTTTTGCTATTAAGTTAGATCATGCAATCTATTTTAAAATGAAATAAAGATATTATTATTAGGTATATTATTATTTTTAAATAAATATACAAAGACTTATATAATATGTTTTGGAATTCATATTTTAGTGAGGAACAAGATAATGAATTTATTATGCTGAGAAGAGAATTTGACCAAGTTTCAAAGAATTGTAGAATTTTAGCATTTAAATTAAAAAAAGCTGAGAGAAGAATGGAAGAGTTAGATAATGAAAAAGTCGAAAATGACAAAAAAACTAAAGAGGTAAGTTACATAAATACTAATAAATATTATTATTGTTATTAAAATATAATATTATATTTACGCAGTTAATAGAACGATTACAAAGTGATTTAGAAAAATCTAAATCTAATGCAACACAAGGGGATCAGAAAAAAAGACCTATGCTGGGCATGATACCTAAGTCTGCATCGGGAGAAGTATTTAATATTTATGAATTAACAAAAAATTAATAGGCCCTTAGATTCATAAGTCATAACCTATTATTTAAATGTTTAGAGGGTTTCAAGAGAGTCGTTAACTCGAGGTGATTCCCAAGAAGATCCAGTTCAACTACAGAGGGATTTACAAGATTCAATTGAAAGAGAAGCAGATATGAGGGAGCAATTACGATTTTCCGAAGAAGAAGTAATGTCTTAAAACTTACCTAGGGTCCATAGACGGTATTAGAAATTATTATTGGACTGAGCCACTTTTCCTGATCAATTCAGACATTTAGACTTATAAATGGTATGGAGGAGGGGGTGGAAAATTTTATTCTGTAAAGAATAGTATACCTTAGGGAGGGGGCGATCAGGGCATTGTGTATTATATCCATTTGATATATTACATATAGACGTATAGTAGTACTAGTGATACATTATTACGGGGCGCAATTAACCTGGAACAAGGCCCAGTTGGTCCAGGCTGTAGTTTCGCCTATGATTGGGTCTTTACAGTTATAAATCTTATAATACAAATATTACATTAAAATACAAATTGTAGGCTAAAATGTTGAGGAACAAAGTGAGTCGTTTAGAAGAAGATAATGAGTCACTGGTGTTGCAACTCAAGAAAATGGCCACAAAAACAAGTAAATAATAGATTATAAATTTCTTTCATTTAATAATGAAAAAAAAATGATTCATAGGTTATCGCCCTACAAATATTGCTGATAGAGATGAAGGAATTTCAGATGTTGAAGATGCAACAGAATTAAAATTACTTCTTGAGCTCAGTGAACAAGTAATATACATATTATTTTTAACCTAAGTCCTAACATCTACTGTTATAATATAAGTATGAACAAGTTTTAGATAATTGTATAACTGCTTCATAAATCATTATAAAATAATTTTACAAAAATAAGTGTTTAATTAAAATATAAAATACTCTAAATTGTAGGAAATTACAGTATTAAAAGAAAATAGAAGAATTTGAAGTAGAAAAGGATCAACTGAAGCTAAAGTTTTAGAATATCAAACAAAATTAACATCCAAAAAACCTTATAAACCAATATCAAAACCAGCACAACCCAAGGTAATGTTAGTAGTATTAAAGTATAAACAAATAACAGTAAAATGTACCAACATAATATATATTTTTACTATTAGACTAAAGAGGTTAAAGCTGATTTCGATAAGCAAACAAAAGCTATTAAACAGTTGGAAATTAAAACAATGGATCTTGAAAGCCAACTTAAGGTAAATTGTTTAAATTATAAAAATAAGTTTTTATTTTTGAATCATCATTGCATGTGCTAACAGAACATTTTTAAGATATACTTTAATTTTCTTCACATAGGTAATGTAATATTATAATGTACATAATTTATTATAATACCTACAATGAGTACAATGTTTATATTCTACAGTGTTATGACTTATGCATATTGATATTATTTATTAACTATTTTATAGAGTGAGAGACAACAAATTGAAAATTTGAAATCAATACATAAAAAAGAAATAATAAACAAAGAAGAAAGTATAAAAAAATTACAAGAGCAATCAACTTCTGAAGAAAATAAAAGAATGACGGATATTCAAAATGAATTTGAAAAAAAAATAAAAAGTACCTAGATATGTTTATAAAAGATTTACTATAGTTTCAATATTTTAATATTTATAATGAATTAATTAATAAATTACTAGGAATAGAAAATGAATTGATGATGGAGCGAAAGAATTACAAAGACATTTTAAATAAATATGACCTATTGCAAAAAGAACAAATAGATGCTAAAAGTAAAATGACAGCAGAAAAAGAAAAACTACAATGGTATATGAACTTTAATTTGTAACGCAATTATTATTTATTTTATTTTATTATACTTTTTGAGCACTCAATTAATAACTATAATTATTTCTTAGTTTGTTAGAAAGTAGAAAAAAAGATATATTAAAAGTTGAACTGGAGTTAAAAACACTGAAAGATAAATACAACAATTCTATTGATTTATGGAACAAAGAAAAATTAGAAATGCAGGTAATTTAAACCATTTAGATGTTTTTATAATTGTTTTTGATTTGGATATTTTGTTTTATAGAAAAAGTTAAAGGATCTAGAAATAGCTCATTCAAATGATTCATGGATAAAAGAGAAGGAAAATATGAAAAAGAATTTGGATGAATATTTAAAAGAAACAAGGACATTAAATAAACAATGTAGTCAGTATACAGAACAGATAGAAAAACTTAAGAAAGAAGTAAGTAAAATAAGAATTTAACATATAAGACTATGGATTTCAATAAAATATTTTGTTTTAGAATGAAATCTTACAACGAAATTTAGATGATTTTGAAAAGGTTGTTAAAGTCCAGCACAGTAGGTCAATGGAGACAGAATTATTAGAAAAAAATCTAAAAGATATGAAAATTAAGTTAGTTTTGATAAATAATAAATTTTTTTTTTAATTTTTAAAAATTAATTAATTTTTTAGGGTATACAATGAAGAACAAGCCAGAAAAACGGAAGTTGCTGCTTTAAAAGTACGCTATGACAATCGAATGTCAGTTCTTTCTGAAGAGTTAAAAAACAGTCAGTTTCAAACACTTAGGTTCAAAAGAGAACGTGATTCGTATAAGCAAATATTGGATTCAGCAGATTCTAACCATCAAAAAGGAAATTATAAGGTGCAAAATAATGATAACCAGGTAATATCTATATAGGTGCCTATTTTTATGGTTTCTTGTTTTTAGATTTGACTAAACTTTTGTTTATTTAAACTGTAATCTTTAGAAAGAAGAATTCTACGTCTTACAGCAACAAGTATCTTGTATGGAAGAACAACTTTCAGAAGCAAGACTTGAATGTTCAAGGTTAAAAACAGAACTGGTGTCAGAAAAATCAGCCTGGGAAATAACAAAATCAGAAATGACATCTTCTATTAATAAAGTCTGTTTAATTAATTTTCTTAATATACATTTATATAAAAATTAATTTTTATTATCTTAGTTGGAAGAAGAACGACTGTTGAACTCAGGAAGATCTAAATTAACAGGTTTGAAGGCTAGAATGGAGCTTGCATGGCAAAAAGAACGGGAAGAACAACAACGTCTTTTACAAGAGACATCAACATTGGCTAGAGATCTAAGACAAACATTATATGAAGTAAATTAAAATACTATTTTATACAGTATGTAAATACGTAAACCATATTCGGGGGATGGAGTGGCTGAGCGGACTAAGGCGTCGGCTGCGACACAGCCGATCCGAGTTCTTGGCCACGGGCGGTATTTTTCTTCGGACAAGTCGTGTCCGGAGAACAAGTGCCACCATCCCTCATCCGGGCATGGCAGATACCTATGGGTGCCCAATCAAAAATTCTGCCAAACACAACACATTCGTGTAAAAACCCTACCATTAAAAACCCTACTACCTACTTTCATAAAATCCCACAATCAGCTAATGGCCATAGTCGCCAGGTTTAAAGAATCAATAAAAGAAAAAAGAACCATATTAATCTTTAATCTTCATTAATTTTGTAAGGTTGAACGAGAGCGAGATAAGATCGCTTAGAATCAAAAGGCGTATAGATCAGCTTACAAAAATATTGAGGTTGACCAACAAGAAATAGGAAGAAAAACTAATGAGGTAGATTAAATTATTTAAATTATCTTTATAGATGAAATATTCAAAATATAATAACTAATACAATCTAACACAAAAAAAATCATTGTTTTATACTACACCAATAAATATGTTTAATATCAATAAAATAGTAATATAATTTTATTTACAACTTATAATATAATAATATAATGTATATAATAAAAAACTAAAATGTGAACTACTTAACTTTTATTATGGGCTGGAACCCATATTTATCATAGACAGTCGAATTCCTCTTATTGGGACCACATACGGGCGGGTGACTCTATTCATATTTTGTCCCATTATCCCAACTGTCCCGATTAAACCGAATTATTTTACATACAATACATTCATTCGGGAACTGTCGTTAAGCATTATTTATGCCCCTTAAGTGGATTCTACTGTAATAGAAAACTTAAAAATTAACCACTTTGATATTACATGTTTGAGTATAAGGTATTAAAAATACTTATTTTTATTATTATATATATTATATTAATAATAGATAAATTATATGTACCTATTTTAGATGTCAACACCTTTAAACACACATAGTGAGTTATTTCTTAATTAAATCTAATTTATAAATTCATATCTAATTTTATATAATAATTAATTCCATATTAAATTACTATATATTCAAGTATTGAACTACAGAATATATTTACCTGTAACATTTCAGTAGAATTTGTTAAATATTTATTGATTTGGTTTAAGAAATTATAATACAATCATTATTTTTTTATTTATTAGATGCAATGTGATCTTATGGACTTACGAGATGCTCATGCAAAATTAAGAACAATAAATGAAAAATTAAGAAAAGAAAAAGACAAAATAGAACAAGATGTAGTCATTAAGATTATGCAATTTCGGCTAAGAACTGATCCTCAGCTTGAGGTTAAAATTAATAATTTATCACAGTTGATCAAAAGTTTAACTATAATAGTAAATGAAAACTATGAACTGACAAATAAATCTTTAAACTCGATAATTGCACCAACACCACCGGCTAGAAGAAAATCATCTACGTCTAGAGAAGCATCACCAGATTTAAATTCCACCAACACTAAATAACAATATAATAACAAATCAAACAATTATTAAATAAAGTTAATGAGTTGACTAAAGAGTTAGTTATAAATACAAATCAACAAGATGTCCGATCAAAACGTGCAGTTTTTGGAGTCAGGTAAAATGTATTGTGATTAAATAATTTTTATTAGATTTGCCATAATTGCATCAAGATCATCTAAAAATATTTAAATATAAACCTAAAAATAAAAAGTTAACTTTATAAAAGTTCAACAAACTATTAACAGTATTATATACATTTAATAATAATAAAAAATTATTTTAACAATGTTAGCAAATAATTTATGTATGCAGACTGACGTTGTAAATTTTCAATACTGACCTATTTTTCTCATTTTTATCAAACTTATTGGTGTAAATAAGCTACTGTAAAAATAATTGTCTTAACACTTATGTGAAATTGTAAAGTTCTTAATTTTTTGTAACTATGTGCATATTTTTTCTTCTTAAACTGTGGCATTTGGTTGTACTAAGAATATTTTCTGAGATACTGGGAGCTTAGGTCCTAAACCAATGACAATCTTAGACAAATTGGAGTTTAAGACAAGCTAATAGGTGGTAATATCTAATAATTAATTTAATGCATAGGTCGTCATCAACTGAAAACGATTTTAATGATAAGCCTCCAATAAGAGGTAGTTTATATAGAAAAAGTCTTTCACTAGAACAAAATTTTGGGAATACTGATCAAGTGAGTTCTAAGCTGGGATAAAATGAGGTACTTAGTAAGATGATGCCTATTTTAGATGTTTAACATTTTTAGGATATATGGAAAAGAGATGAACGTAGTCAGTCAAGAAATAGACTTACTAAACAACCAAATAGTTTTGACAGGTAATATTTTAATGTTTCTTAAGTTGGTAAATATATGATTAATAGACACATTAGTCTATTTAGTTAGTTTTATGAAACATAGTATAGAAATTATATTGACATGATTTTTATTCGTTCAAAATACAATGTATGACGTTATACCCTCAGTGCCCTACTTGATGCTAGCACTAATATATTTTTAAATATTAAAAATTGAATAAGTTAATTCATTTTTAGCCAACAATCCAATAGTTCTTCCAAAAGTGATATTGTAAGCGGAGAAAAACTAAGAAAAAAGTACTTTTTGGCAAGCTAAAGAAGTTAACCAAAAGTTCTAAAAGCTTTGATAATGATAGTGATTTGGTATGTATGTTGAATGCCTGTTCTAATTTTTAAACTTTAATTGTTCATTTTCATTTGTAGTCCTTTAAAAGCAGTTCCAGCATTTACAATATTGATGTATCTTCTAGTAAGGATTCCAGAGGGAAACTTACTGATGTGTTTTAAACTCAACATTACCTAAGTAAATAAAAACTAACAATAAATATACAAATATATTATTAATCAATTTTCTTTTTTTGATGAACTTAATATAGCTTAAAAAAGAGAGCAATGTCTCCATCAATATTTAGAAGATCAGAAAGTTCAAGGACATCTCCATCGCCATCAGTACGTTCAGATGAATACGAAGAAATCTCTTAGATAGTTATTATTTATTAACAATAATAGTAAAATGTCTGTAGTGGTATATGATCTATTGCATGCTAGTGCAATTTAATCTAATACAAGGGCCATTATATTACTTAAAGTATCGTATTCTTTATGTGGTATGTCTTACATTTATAAAGTAGGAATAATAATTATTGTTTGTGTAATGTTTTTCCAATGAAAGCAATTTGATTTTAATTTTCCCTATAAGCTATTAGATATTAATTTAATTTTTGTTGTGTATGTTTCACTTAATGTAGCGAAGACCAGCGGTATATTGTGATAAATATTGTATTACAGTTTAAGACGCCTATATTCTATATTGTGAACATGTTATTTTTTTATCTAGACTACTTGATTTTTAATAATATTAAAAATTACTTACATATAATGTAGAATATATTTTTGATTGCGTGGTATAATGAAAAATAAACAGGATAATATGGGAATTCTTTGATAATTTTAAAAGTAATTTAATGTCTTTTTTAATAACCAGCATTGTGCATAATTAGTTTTTTTAGATACACTGTATTATTGATAAATAATAATGTTAAAAAAGATATTAAATTACTTTTATTATGATCAAAATCTCTTTATTTAAGTGAGAAAATATACTATTATTATATAAAACAATAATCGCATAATAATTTTATTAGTGTAAATATAATATATAAATTTGTGATTCTTTTATTAAAGTTAATTTATCACTACAAAAAGTACAAATATTATTTTATATCATAATCATATTTGAATGACAAGCACAACATAGCTGTTATTATTAGGAGTATTTTAAATTTTTATATACCTAGTTATTTATGAAATTTCAAACAAGTTATAGTTAGTTTTGTTTGAATGTTTTAGGTTTTTATATATTAAAATAGTGCTATCGAAACCATTTCCCTATGGCAGGGTGTTACGTGGGGACACACAGAAAATCCGAATTTGGACGGGCAGGGGCATGATCTCTCCTGGTCAGAGTATAGCATTCTATGCAGTTTTACATGGATACAAAACGTGGACAATATTCGTTAACCCTGTATAGATAATATTTAATAGTATCATATTAATTCATCATATTATCTACTAAAATAATATTTATAAGTTTAAGTTGATTGTTTTGATCAAAAATGAAATGAATAATTCGTTTATACTATTTAATATTTATATTACACCAATGAATAAGCTAACTGAAGTAAAAGAAAAAAAAAACTAAATACACCAAGTACATATTTAAACATTTTGTTACATATTTATTAATTATATTTAGCAAGATATATGGTTTTCACAGTTTCCATAAACAACTTTCTAAAATATTTATTATAGCTACAATTAATTTTTTGAATTAATTTGTTTTCATTACAATTTAGTTCCATAGAATGAGTGATTTGGTCCTTTTCCAAATTTTTGCCAATCAATTCCAGTAACCGAAGGCTCATTTGGTAAACTTTCAAGGCCCTTAAATCAAATAACCATTAAGTAACGTTTAGGATCAGTTGTCATTACATTTTGAATTAGAATAAGATATATGTATATTACTTGTGCCTTGTAGGGATCACCAGTTAATTCCCAGTCTCTGGCATAATACCTTTGAAGCCAAGGTTGACTAATATCACGTCTGTAAACCTAGAATAATAAATATAATAATTCGAAAATGCCTTTGTCATAAATATTAAGTTTGTTTAAGTATAAAAACATTTAATATTTAAGAATTTTACTTTTTTACAAGTACAAACCATTTTAAATTTGTTGGTAAAAAAATATAAACCTACAGATTCAGAACCGTATCAGCCATAATGCAAACCACCCTCATAAGTTATATTTTATTTAAGAAAAAAAATAATGATACCCTTACAAATCTAAGTCGAAAAAGTATCCAACAGAGCTCAATAGTATTACTTTAATGGCAATTATCCAATTATTTATCCATATCTTTGAATTACGTTATCATATCATATAAATGTATAAAAAAAACCCAAACAACCAAAAGTTAGCAGCTTTTTTTAAAAAAAAAAAAAAATAAAAAATGTTTAAGAAAACAAATTTAAAGAAGTTTCGCATAATCCAAAATTAACCTGTCAACTTATAAACGATGTTACATGCTCTAAAACAAGTAAAAAATTAGTAATATAATAAATAATGATAAAGTAATGGAGTCTCAAATATTTTTAATGATTTTTGACTGATGTTGGTAAAAAACTATCAAGAAATTTCAGTAAAGTAGCAAAAAATAATCTTATAAATGTTAATAATACTGTTTTTTGACAGTTTGTTTTCTAAGAAAATTTAAAAAACTGAAGTAGTAAAAATTGTAAAAAATTGAAAAATGACACGGAGGCAGGTCATGATAAATAAGATAAAATTAATAGTCTATATAATCTAGTCCAAATATATAATAAAAATTAATAACATAATGTGTAGGTATGGTTCACATATTATTTGTATAGGTATAAAATAATAATAGTTATAATAATTATAATAATAGTAATAGAAAAAATTAAATTTTATTTGGCTTATTGCGAAAACTCAAACACTTCACATAGTCATACTGTGTAATTATTTTAAAGTTATAATCTGATATTTTGTTATTGATATAGTTTCACCCCTTTTATTTGGGCTAGTGCTAGTTCTGATACAAGTCTTACTACAAACGCTTGCGAAAGTACAAATAATATGTGGAGTTACACATTATATTATTCATTTTTATTATATATTTGGACCGACTATGTTTAAGTTGGCAGTCCTCAGTTACGTTAGGGTGTATTTTTTTCCGTGAGGGAACTTACATATGTACCCGCTTACCTGCTATGTTTCGTGTGGGAACTTACTAAACCCCCATAATTTAGTAGGTAAATTACGATATTTAACTTATAAATTTATTTCACTATAAAATTTGATTCTTAAACAGACAATGCGTGTAGTATACTTCTCTATATCAATCAATTTTTCAAAATGGATTATAGGTATGGGGTGGTTTGTGTGTTAGTGTACTTAAAAAACTTCAAACTAATAAGAATTATAGTGATCTGAGTGTATTACCAATTAAATCACTTTTTAAAAAAAATAGCTATATTGTTTGTATCTAATCGTTTTATTAAAGGCAATTTCAGTAAATCACTTGTTAAGAACATAGCGTATGATATCCCTGTCATATAAGCAGTGTTTGGCAAGCTCCTTATAAAAAGGAATTCGTTCAGTTCCTTGTTCCTTAAAAAAAAAGAATTTGTTCCTTTTTTGAGTTCAAATAAAATAAAAATACTTATTTAGGTAATCATTTATATTTTTTTTTTCATATTATGCATACTTCTTTAATTTTTAATTATAATATATAACTACAAGTAGGTACATATTTTATATATTTAAGTAATTTGTTATTTTATATTTTGAGATTTTCTTCAAAATTAAGTTTTTGGCAAACGTATGTCGATTGTCTTAACGTCGATACTCGATAACAATCACTAATTAGCAGCAATATACATTATACACATTAAAAAAAATATATCTTAATTTCAATTTTTACATACTTATCTTTTTATATTATTGGAACTAGAAAGGAATGAACAATTTTGTTATTTTTCCTTTAAAAAAGAACTAGTTCATTTTCTCGTTTTTTTTTTATAAAATGGTATTCGTTCATTGTGCCGGTCTTTACAAAGGAATTCGTTCTTTTTGGAACTCGTTCCTTCTAATGCATATATGCAAAAAAAATCTTTCGGTCAATCATTTGTTGAATGTCTAGTCCCTACGTTATTTAACTTAATGAAAATTTAGTATAAAAAAACATCCACATTATGCAGTTATGTTAAAAAGATTTTATGTAAATGGTTATTTTTAGATTTGAGCTAAATCTTTTAGTTTTATATCGGTAATCACATGTTTAAGTTCTTTTTAATAAGTATAGGCTCGTTTTAATTAATTTTAATATACTTAGTCATTTTAGTTTTAATCAATAATATTTGTTCTTATATTTTATTGAATGTACCTATCTGTAGTTTTTCTTATTCATTTGTTTTAAAATAATAAATATTGTATTAGGTACTTTCTATCACTATCATAATAACCTTGCTCAAAACAGTTAGATATTCATAAAAAATTTCATAAAATATGTAGGTAGGTTTATGCTATTTTTTATTAATAATAAATAAATTAAAATATTTTTTTCACCTAATATTTTTTTTGTCTTGTGAGACTTAGGAAAACCCGAAACAGATACTCACATTATTGTAAACCAATTTATTCGACAGAGAGTTGAACCTGTCGGGTATGTTCAACAGCACATACACGATAACGGCGGATGGTAAGGCTTCGTACCACATTTCGAAGTCACCCCGGTGTACAAACGGTGTGAAATTCTGAAAGAAGTCGTGCTTGTATAACGAATTTCTTTAATTCTTTTCCAATCCGTATTCTACATCCGCTTATAATTATAATACTTTTGGTCTGTTCTTATCATGGTGAATAACCCGAGACGGCGACGACCTTGGGCCAAGATAAGGAACATATGCTTGACCACGTTGGCCAACTGAATGTGGCCGTGGCAGCTGCAAAATGCAGCTGCCACGGCTCCAGACCCGATTGTCTGCCCGGCGGCCGCACTGTTTATCTCAATGGCGTTTGTTTGTTTACTGGCCATTCGCGATTGGCTCCGAACACATTAGCTGCTCAAAATGTACGGTGCGTTTTTTACGTTTCCGACTCGCGTATACGGCGATGTTCTAAATAGTAAATAGTAAATAACAATAGTAATTTCCCGGCCCATGCCGACGCCGGCCGTTTTTTAAATTTTATTTTATCACTTCACTGGTCCGCACAACCCGCCCGTGCATCTTTAGCGGCGCCGACGGTTTTGGGATATTTTAATTTTTTATCCGTGTTTTTTAATTTCGTTCGTTTCGATATATTCTTCAACGGTTGGTCGTGCGCAACGAGGATCACCGCCGTTACCAGTTCGCCGTTGGTCGCACGTATGTATTGTTGACGGAGGAAACGTGTCGCCGAAATCGAAACACCCGTCCATTGTCGGCCCGCGCTTTTTTTTGGGGGGGCTCAGTTAGCCGTACGCCACACGCGCACACGCCGATAACTCCAAGAACTACCTAAACCACCGACCGGACTTAGGACGCCACAATGTCAATCACTCCGTTTAAGAAAAGAGTCTGTTATTATTACGACAGTGAGTATCGTTTAAATCGAAGTTAAATCAGTAGTATGCGCTAGACTGTCACCGTTCAATGCTTCTGACGCTCCAGCGACGGCTAAGACATCCCTTGTTTCGGTTTCTGGTCAGCTGCAGTTCAATAGTGCTTACCAGCTTTGTCGATTGTCTCCGCACAACCTGTACACAATAATAAAACCTTAGTAATTATGCCCAGTCTGGTGGGGTTTTCTCTTTTTTTAAAATTCTGTCCTGTACTTCTGGATGACTTATTTGTCTAATATTGACTGTCTGATATTGTAATCAAGCAAGCCATGATAATGTAGGTACTAACCAAAGCTACCTACTACATTTTTATAGTTAGGAACCTATCTGTTTTTAATTTTCATGGTTACCTTAAATATTTCTATGCACACAGAGTAAACGCATATACCTAGATGTACAACATATTTTTGAATTTGTCTTATGTGTGTTATTTTGTTTTAGTCAACATCTTCAATTTATTCCATTCTGTAGGTACCTATCTAGTATCTGTAAAAATCTTAGGTGCCTATAATCTGAAGTATAAAAGACTCAAATAAACTGTAGTTAATAATTGTCGATGACCTTAATTACTCTATATAAAGATTACAAGTAATTACATATAATTTAGTTGATTATACAATTAAATATAGCCATACTTATTATACATGTAAATCAGTTATGTACCTAATATTAAATACACATTCTGAAATTTAACTATAATATACCTACTTACACATTTTGTTAAGAACCATTGGCAGAGTCAGAAGTATTGTTTAGCTTATGCAGAATCTAAATCAGCCCACCACAATTATGGGGAGGGGATTTGGGGGGCTAATCCCTAAAATCCCTATTTTCGGATATTTTATAGGTAACCGTAATTAGTTGCCATTGTTTTTTTTTGTTATTTATAAATTGTAAGCTTATTTATTATTCAAGTTTTTAAATCAAAATTTAAAATTTTTATTAATTTTAAATATGCTGAATGTTAGTTCAGGTGAATTCCTCCGGTGGTTAGCAATATTTTTGTTATAGAATAGGGGAAAAAAAAATTTTTTTCTGAGGTTCTGTTAATGAACGGTCTCCTCTTCACGTTATCCATGTTTGTATATTTTTCTATGTTATCCTTATTACTTCTTTATTGTGAACAGATTGAATTTATTTAAATAAAAGAATATAAACAGTTAGTTCTAAAAAAATTAAATTAAATTAAAGAAATGAAAAATGACATAGAAATGATATTTATCATTTGGAATTATATTATATAGAAAAAATACGGTTAGGAACTGTCTTTGTCTTTAAAATGAATATATGGTAAATACATTGTTAAGAACACATAAAATGATTAGTATTTATAATAATCATTAGACTTCAGCCAAATTAACCCTTCATAGATTTTACTTTTATTTATTAAATTAAACTTAAATCAAAGCAGCCTTCAGGGCGATTAGGGTGTGCAGCTGCATTCCCTGCACGTCCCATGGCTCCGCCTATGACTTAATAAACTTTCTTTGTATATAATATATTAATATAATACTTATAAATTATAACAAATTAATATTGCATTAGACTAAGTAAATTTGGTAAAAATATACATTTCAAAACTTTTTATAATATTTAAACTTAAATCACCATTTTGGTATAGTTCAGAAAATACCTTTTATATAAAATATGTACCTATAAATTATTTGCAAATAGGCACCTACTTATAGTTTTTACTTATAAAGATAAAAGTAAATAATTATGCAAAATAAATTAATCTTCAGACTCAATAAATATGTTTGTTTTGTTGTATTTTTATTTGCTTGATTGATAAATTACATAGTCATTATAGTCAAGGTACCTTTTACTCGTACTTTTACTTATACTACTTTATTAATTACACATAAGAGTATCTCGTTAAATTATTAAAACAATATTTATTATTTATTTTATGTTTATAAATTCTATGAATTGTTTATTTTTTTTTTCATTTGCTAATACAATCCCAACTATCTAATTTAACTAGGTACATTTTTTATTTTTAATCGTAAGTAGCCAAGTAGGTACAATTTTTCATATTATGTAACTATTTGTAGGTAATTTTTACTTAACTCTTATACTAAAATACCTAACATAATATCTATATATATTTGATTTATCTTTAATTTCCATGTTCTAAAAGTCCACACTCTATTCAGAATAAGAACAGATCGCATTCGTGCGTCGCAACTGAGCTTGGTGCTGCCAGACCACCTGATGGCCGATTTGTTAATTATTCGGTAAAAGTGAATATTTTTGGAGGCAGTCGTATTGGGGATGGATGTATTTTTGTCCACCACCTGATCTGATCTTATTCTGAATAAAATATATAATCACTAGGGGTGGTATTTATTTTTTTAAAAAACACAAACACAAAATATTTTATATTATGGCTTTCTATAAAATTAATAACATAAGGTTGTTTCTTAACCATATGCTGGTTTCACATTGTGTCAAATTTTAAGTTCTTAATATTAGTTGTGACTTAATAAATTGATTTATTCACTATTTTTGTTGTGTTAACCTAAGCCATTACATCTGGATACCAATGTCAATATTACATACCTATCCTAGATGTTGATAGGAATCCGAGGAGGAATCCATTAAATATTGATTACATTTTACAGAAAATTTTCTTTTTGTCAATTTATAGTTTTATACCATAAATCGTATAGAGTGCCTTACTGATGACTATTTTCATTGGCAGAAGTACAATACCTAAGTGATTCAAATTTTAATTAATAGGTACAATAATGACAACAGCTTTTGTTTCATGATACATAGACTTAAAAAATAACAATTATTGCAGTATTATAAATAGGTACATAATTGTTTAGTTTGGTTCCTATATGACATGTTAGTATTAATACTTCTATATACACAATACACAAATCAAGCGCTATATTCTACACCTAAATCATAAAATTGTACTTTTTATAAACACTCCAAGGTATATTATCTAATGTAAAAAAATATGTGAATTCTTTTTTGGTGTTGAAATATAAAAATGAAACTTAATATTATAATGTGTATCTCCCTTAAATATTTATAAATATAAATATATTTACTTTTAATTGATGGAAAACTTTTTCTATCAATTTCAAAAAGCTTTTTAATGTAATTTACTATCATACATTTTTACAGGTGACATAGGAAACTATTATTATGGACAAGGTCATCCTATGAAACCACATAGGATTCGAATGACTCATAATTTGCTTTTAAATTACGGTTTATACCGAAAAATGGAAATATATGTAAGTCAAGTTTGATATATTTTAGTATTAATGATATTTTTCAATTTAGTAATTTACTAATAAAATCAATGTTTATAATTTAGAGACCTCATAAAGCAACTGCAGAAGAAATGACCAAATTTCATAGTGATGAGTATATACGCTTCTTACGAAGTATTCGTCCAGATAATATGAATGACTATAATAAACAAATGCAAAGATGTAAGTTTACTGTCTCTTTTACTCAAATGTTTCTGTAAATATTGATTGAAAAATTAAACTAAAACAGTTATTTCTTTTTTTTATAGTCAACGTAGGTGAAGATTGTCCAGTTTTTGATGGTTTATACGAATTTTGTCAGCTATCTGCGGGCGGTTCAGTAGCAGCAGCTGTAAAGTTAAATAAGCAATCTGCAGATATTTGTATAAATTGGGGAGGTGGTCTCCATCACGCAAAAAAATCTGAAGCCAGTGGCTTTTGTTATGTTAATGACATCGTACTTGGTATATTAGAATTGCTTAAATACCATCAACGGGTATTGTACATCGATATTGATGTTCATCATGGTGATGGCGTTGAAGAAGCATTTTACACTACTGATAGAGTTATGACAGTTTCATTCCACAAATATGGCGAATATTTCCCTGGTACTGGTGATCTCAGAGTAAGTTAATGAATAGTAAAATAATTAACCTGTCTGTGGCTACAATATTAGCATTTGTTTTAACCTTTAATGAATTGGTTTTTATGTGGTAACTGGTAAATAAATTATTTGATAACAATATTGAAATGTTTTCATTATTTTAGGACATTGGTGCTGGAAAAGGAAAATACTATGCAGTTAACATTCCCTTAAGAGATGGAATGGATGATGATAGTTATGAATCAATATTCGTACCAATAATTACTAAAGTAATGGAGACGTTCCAACCTAGTGCAGTCGTATTACAATGTGGAGCAGATTCACTTACAGGAGACAGGCTTGGATGTTTTAATTTAACTGTTAAAGGTATGAAAGTTTTATATAATATGATACATTTATAAATTTAAAATTTAAAAACTAAATTAACATTTATAGGTCATGGTAAATGTGTTGAATTTGTGAAACGTTATGGTTTACCTTTTCTTATGGTTGGTGGAGGTGGTTATACTATCCGCAATGTATCTCGATGTTGGACATATGAGACAGCTGTGGCCTTAGGAGCTGAAATTGCCAACGAATTGCCGTATAATGACTATTTTGAATACTTTGGACCCGATTTCAAACTTCATATTAGTCCTTCAAATATGACCAATACAAATGCTACTGAATATTTAGAAAAAATTAAAAACCGACTCTTTGAAAACTTACGAATGCTACCTCATGCCCCAGGAGTTCAAGTCCAAGGTAAATCTTATCCTACTCGCAATTTTAATTAAATAGTATATTTTTTAATACAAACGTTTAAGTTTTGAATGAACTATTTACTATTTAATTCTTATTTTTATTAATAGCTATTCCTGAAGACGGTGTACGTAATGAGTCTGAAGATGAAGATAATGTTAACCCAGATGAAAGGAATCCTCAGTCCATTACAGACAAACGAATTGCACCTGACAATGAGTTTAGCGATAGTGAGGATGAAGGAATGGCTCCCGGTGTAGGAGGTGGTGGCCGAAAAGATAACAGGTATGGCCACCGTTTTATTTTTTCTACAAAAAAAAAAAATTCCATAGGTATATAATAATGTTTTTGTTTTAGATCTTATAAAACGGTTGCACCTGCTAGAAAACAGGCACGTTTGGACTCTAATAGGATGGAAGTAGATGAACCTGAATTTAATATTCTAAAAGGTAATTATTTTTTATATTACAACACAAATAAAAATGTAGTATCAAACTGCAGTGGCTAAATGCCAATTTTTAAATTTCCATTGTATATGTTTATAAGTTTTAATGTAGAACTAATGTGACGTTTTTAATTTAAATTTCATAAAAAAATCTGTGTTGAATGTACATCCTAGTTTTTAGCCAAAAATACATTTTCTTACATATTATTTACTTTTTAATGTTCCAAAACAAGATCTTGTGTGAAGGTTGCTAAGAGTTCTTCAAAATGACAGCTAAATTTTTTCCTTTAAATATTACTTGAATGCACATAAACATTCTAAGCTATTTTCTATAATACTTATGTGATGACGTTTTGTTTTATTTTTTACACTTATAATAATTAATTTAATAGAATAATATTGCTTACAGTGGCGTAAACAATTATATTCATCAAAATCAATTACTTAAAGATTTTTTTTTTTAATTGGTTAGTGGGTAGGTTCTGTGAGTTTCTAATATAGTTATGTTCTTTTATGTAGTTTTATGAAATTATGTTGCATTGGTTTATTCAACTTTCAAGCATAGACAGTGTTGTATTTACTATTTAGGGCAAGCTTCCCTAAATGCATACATTGTATTCATAAAATGATTGGTTCAAATGTGTTTGAAGTTTATAATATCACTTAATGCTTGAATATATTGTGTTAATTAATATCTTAAATATTTGTTTTAGATGATAAAGAAGACAAATCTGTTAGTTCTGATGATTCTAATAAAAAGGATGCTGTCAAGTCGTGAATTTATGATTAAATTTTATAATAAAATTGTAAATAATTGAAAAAAAAAAAAAAGTAAAACAATGATTTACTGTCATTCATTTGTGTACATAACTTCGATAATTAGGGCGGTATAATGTAATTTAGTAAATTATCTTATTTATAGTTACTAATTTATGGTTTATGATTGTTAACTCTAATAATAACGCCCTTAGTATGTTTTAAAAAATGAAGTAAGCTGCGATATTAAGCTGAGTATACGGCAACAGATATTTTTCACAACAATTGTTTCTACATTTTTATATTTAGGTATATCAATTTGTTTTAACTTTTGTAATTATATTAGTTTATACAGCAGCTGAAACATTTCAAGCAAATGGAAGTGATGATGGTGTTATTTGAATGTTCAACTATAACAAATTTTGATTTGTGGTTATTAAAGTTAACGATTATTTTTTTTTAAAACTATTTTCATCATTACACTATTAAGTAACGTCGGTAAGTATAGAATGTGTATAGTGCAGACTAACATATCTTAATTTTCAATCAAACAAATTTTACATGTTTTTAGTTCTGGAACCTTTTTTTTTTACATTTATGAAGTCATCTAAATTACCAGGTCAGCTATTTATAAAATAGTTGTGATCATTTTTTTTTTTTTTATCAAATTTATTATAGTCTTACGTCTTATTAGTTTTATTAATTAGTAAGATCTAATATAAGGTAATAATTTTCAATCCTAATTATGTATTTTATTTTGTACTATTAAATAACTATATATATATATATTTTTTTTTTTTGTATAAAACAAAATAAATAATATTTATTACATTATTTTATAACTATTCTGTGTTGTTTAATGCATTTCAATCTATGGGCCGGTATTATTTTTATAATCTGCATTAAATTAAATTTATAATTATTGAACATGTAAAACTAAACCTTTATCAATTGTTAGTTACATTATTATTCCATTTGTCCAGTTCCGTCTCTTCTTTACACTTGTTATAATGTTTTCTTTAATTTTTCCAGAGTTATGTTGATCTTATATTTTCATTACATATTCTTCATTTGTTCTTGCAAACAAAAGTGGAATGGTTTGTTCTACATATGGAGTGGAAAAACAATTAAATTAAATTATTAGTATACTTTACATAATTTCTGAAAATTTGTTCACAAGAATTATTAAGTGATTTATTATAGCAATAATCTTGAATTATTAAAACACCATGCACTTAAGAGGATACTACACATAGCAGGCACGGATCCAGAGCAAAAATCTGGGGTAGCGGGCCAAAAATTCTTTTACAACATAAATACAATTATAATAAAATATTATACTTTACTAAAAATGTTGTCATAATAGTAGGTACCTATAGATAATCAATGTGATAAATAAATTATTGATTATTTAATATATAAAGAAGTGACAATGTGGAAAGAAGTTTAGATTTTGTTTATTTGTTATTTAATATTATATAATATTTATATTTAAAAAAATTATGGCTGGGGGGGCCTGGGCCCCTAGCCCCTCCTGGATCCGTTCCTGACACATAGTAATAATGTTATTTTAATCATGCTGAAAGACCACAAACCACAGCGCTTCACATTGGCTTACCAGTTACCCTATGGCCTATGTATTTATCTCTATAATAATACAGACTTTAATTTTTATAGTTGGTATTAATACTTAGTTTTGACGTTGGACTAGGATATTATGTATAATACATAATATTATATACCTATTGGCAATCTGTAGTATACCGTTTTTTATTTTCTATTGGTGCCATCTGTTGTACCTATGAACTGTGCATGAAAAATCTACATAAATCAGCTTAGTCGACTTGTATTTAGATAAACCAATAAGATTCAAGATTTAAAATTAAAATTGTATTTTTGTTATTTGTTTATCTAAAACAAATATTCTATACACTATACCTACTAATATATATCACTGTAAATACATTTTTGTGCATGGTGATTTCACTAAAAGTTAAGCCAATAGATTCCTTGAGACTGGGGGTGTTTTTAGCCTCTTTTTCAACCTTTTTTAATAGGTTGCTACAGGATGGTTCTGGGTTCATATAAATGGTTTTTATTGGCTACATATTATATTCTGTCCAGTCCCTATAAGTTGTTGCCTTTTGGATACTATTATAATTGATTAGGTAGTATAGAAAATATAAGTTTGGCCAGAACTACTTAATCATCGACAAAAATCCTTACCTATTAATATATTATAATTATTATGATAACTTTGTTTATTATTTCTGCATATTGTTTTTCCAGCTGTGATTTAAAGATCAATTTCGGTCGAAGTAAAAAATCTTTTATGTTACAGTAACCTAATTGTATCAAATACCTAGGCAATAGAGTTGACCTGGGCCCCACGGTTCAAAAATGTGGCTGCATGTTCCTTGAGTCCCAAAAAAAAGTATATTTTACCAGTAGTAAATTTATCCACTAACTTGCGTCCCGTTTTAGCAAGTCATCTATATAATTATTATCGATATTATCTACTAAAATCGATAGTTCATAAACTGTACTGTATAATAAACCTCACTATTTGTGGGATGGTGGGATAATTCTGAAAAACATTTATAATATTCGTTTATCAATCCTACCCAAAATAAATATAAAATATCCAGACTGACATACTGTCTCCGCTCAGAATCGTTTTTCTAATACAATGATATTATGCCATTGAATTCAAGTTTAATACAATCCATTATACAATGACCTACTTGTAACCTACTGTACAGTAGATGAGCGACATCCACTTACTTTCTTTTTTTAATATTTTGAATTTTATTATTATACTTTAATTTTGGATTGATCTATAAGTACCTACTATTATCATGACAAAATGTAAATCATAATATGAACTTTTCATTATTTTGAATTGTATACTCATTGAGTATTACTCAACTTACTTGTTACTTATCTCTATATTATAAATTAAAATAAACATCAATGTAGGTATTTTTTTTACATCTTGATATCGATTAGGTATAATATCTATATTTTCGGGACGCAATTTATAAAGTTATAAAAAAAGGTATACCGGGACGCAAATAGACTATGATCCTTTTTGAATTTTTTTTTGTGGAACTCAATTCACCTACTGACAATAATTCCGGATGCAAGTAGTATGCTCCCAAAAATGTATTATCTATAAGCCCTCGCGGTTTTGATAATTGTGAATTTTAATTAACTTACGAATTTACGATGTTTCAATTTATAGTATATATTAAAATTATTATAAAACAATACATAATTCATATTTAATATTAAAACATACCGTAATTGAGGGTTTCTTTGCACCAAATTTCTTGGTTTTTATGACTAAGATATACACTGTTAATTTAATAACAATGATACAATTTTACAAGTTTCACAGTCTTTTAGGTATGAACATAAAGAATGATTTACAAAAATGTGTAACAAAAATTTGACCAACTTAAAAATTGATTAAGCAATTTTTTTTAAAAAAATTGGTGCAAAGTTAACTATGCTATTGGGTAACATTGCACCAACATCAAAAATGCATTTAATAGGTATTCATGTTTATAAAACGTTTTATTTTCTGCTTTTTTAAATTTTTATTTGATTAATATTCAATACTTTAGATTCTTAATGGAACGATGAATGTATAGATTTTACAATGATGTGTGTTTTTTTTGTGTGTTTACACGATAAGTAGTCAAAATAATGCTTCGATTTTAAACTTCAGTACCTATCTTGTTCGATGGGAAAGTGAATATTGTTGGTGGCGTTGGTGCATTGGGGATTTTCAAAAGCGCCTTGAAAAAAAAAAGAAAAATGAAGGAAAATCTGGAATTTTTACGCAAAATCGACTAGTTTTCGGTGTAACTTTAAAAAAAAATGACCTTAGATATATGCAATTTTAACTGGTTGTTTCTATTTGCATTTTCTATACACGATAACATTTTCAAAATATTTTGATTTGTTTTGAACTGTTTAGGGACATTTTCTGTTTAAAATTTTATTAGTTTTTTTTTTCTATGAATGTCAATAAAACTTTATTTGTTGAGTAAAAATACTTTAAAATTTAATACAAAGCTCCTACTATATTGTTACAATAACATTTGAAAAATATTAAAAATCCTTAGTCACAGTTTTTTATTATAAGCGTGTGTTTAGAGTTCAAAATGTGGAAAAATTACGAAAATTTGCAAATTATATTGAGTTAAGAATTCGTAAACATTTTTCTTTTTAAATCTAAGATTTTAAAATCTGATACGAGATTTCTTATAAGATTATCTACCTTTATCAAAAAAAAATGTCTTCAAGCAAATCAAATTATATTTTTATTGGCGTTTGAATTTTATATTCTTACAATATTCGATATTCACTCGATTTCTCATGTAGCGATTTTCTAATTTTGTTGTAATTCAAAAACGAACAATTGTAGAGACATGAACAATTTACTGAATGTTTATTTTATCAATTCTTATACTTGAAAAAAATTTCAAAATATTTTGACTTGTTTTGAGCTGTTTACGGGCAATTTAATATTTTTATTTTTTTTTTTATGAATATCAATTAAGTTTTATCTGTTGGACCAAAAAGTGTAAAAATTTAATACAAGGCTCCTCATATATTGTTACATTAGCGGTTGAAAATATTAGAAATACATTGGCACAGTTTTTTTCTATAAGCATTTAAAGATCAAATTTTGACAAAATTTATCAAATTTAAAATTGAATAATTATTTTGTAGTTAATAATTTATAAAATGTTCAACTTTTATATCTAAGGATTGAAAATTTAAAACAAGATTCCACGTAAGTAGATAATTCTGTTACCAAAAAATCTAAAAAAATACATCGACAGTTTATTTTTATAGTCATATTAAGTTCAAATTTTGACGAAATTACATATTAAAAACCTAAAATAACTATATAAAATTATTTCGTGGGTACTTGAAACTTCTAAAGTATACTATTAGTTATCTATGATAGTATAACGGTTTGTTGTTGATGTATAACGTGTTTTATGTACCTACCTAATGAATATTGTGATATGATTAATTTGGAATTTAGGTACCTATTAGGTAATTTTTTTCTTAATACCATAGATTAGTATATAATATTATGCCTTGTACCTAGACTGACATACCGCTCAGAATCATTTTTCTTATACAATAATATTATATCATTGAATTCAAATGTTATACCATTCATTATACAGTGACCCACTTGTAACTTACTGTAGGTAGAGCAGAGTGACATCCACTTGCCCACCTTTTTTTTATTATTTTTTTTTTTTATTATTAGCTTAACACCAACCGGCTTTTTATAGGCCATATAGGTATCAAGGACTTTTATAAAAGATTTTCTTAGATTGTATTTATTATAACTTATTATTAATAAATAGCAAAAACAATAAATTATGCAATGAATAAGTTATATGTGGCATAGACAAGCACTATTTGTTCATTATTTTAAAATATTTTGGTGTGGAATAAGGTGTGCAGTAGCAAAATATCTTAATTTTAGGCCCTGCTACATATAAGATAATATAATTTTGAATGTTTTACCAGTATTAATAACTTATTTTGACGAAATCTGCCTATTTTGAATGAAACGGTTTTTGTGTGTTTGATAACAAGGCTTATCACTTAAACACAGTTCGGAGGGAAATCAATGATTTAAAGTTGAATACGAAACGGCTGGTTGTAAATATTGTGAGGATTCATACAAAAAAAAAAAATGAATCAAGTGATATAATTTTATAACTCGTGATAAAAATAAACACAAAAATATATTTTGGTGCAATGTTCACTGGCCTGGTGCAAAGAAACCCTCAGTTACGGTACCGTTCACGTAGGTATATCGTATATTCGGGTGTTGACCAGTTGCCCCCCCCCCCCGCTGTTATCGGGATTTTAAAAATATACCAGTTGCCCTCAACCAAATGTACCAGTTGCCCTCAACCAAATGTACCAGTTGCCTCCAACCGAATGTACCAGTTGCCCCCAACCGAATGTACCAGTTGCCCTTATATGTTAATATACTCTATATACACGATTACAATATATAGCCCGTAAAATAGGGGAGGTAAATATACAAATAATAAATAAAATTATTTAAAATAGTACAAAATGATGGAAAAAAATTTATATGCTTGAAATATATTATACCTAATGTTATATTATGTTATAATAATTAATAATTTTATTAATTTTTTTTTTTATTAATTATTATTGTTTTTTATTTATTTATTTTGTAATAATAAATAATAATTACTAACAAAATAATATGAATACAATAGTAAATAAAATAATAAATATTATAATTATGTGACATTCAAAGTTATAATTTTTCAACAAAAAAATAGTATAAAATGATAGAAAAAATTCATAATAAATTTTATAATTATAATGAAAAGCGGTATATTCAATGTGATAATTTTTCAAAAAAAATTATAGTAAATAAATTAGATATAATATTATGTACTATGTTTTGTTATAATAATTACTATTTATAATTATTATTTGTATACTTACCTTCCCTATTTTAAGGGCTATATATTGTAATCTTATATATATTTACATATGAGGGCAACTGGTACATTTTGCTCTAGGTAGTTTGGGGAGAATTGGTATAAAAAAAGGTACTTTTGGGGGCAATTGGTACATGGCCGTATATTCATCGTATATTATACTAATATGATATGAAATTGAGACCCACATTCGAGGTTCATACTTCATAGTAAAACTGAACGTTGATACACGATTGCGGACGGTACTTATCAGGGCCACCTTTTTAAAAAGACGATTTCGAACTTTATAGTTTAACAATGGACCCCCGAAAATGACAAGATTGCGGACATGTGTTGCCAAATTTATAAATAATACTTCGATAATCGGCTAATGACCTGTGATGTTGAAGCCTTTTTATCCTAATAAAAAAAAAAAAAAAAATTACTTCAATAATCTAGGAATATGGAAATTCCGAGTGTATTAATTGTAGTATGTTACAAGTAATACTGTAGTAATAGCACACCCGTAGTTGTTATAGTGTTATATAATGTTATATAGTGGAAAACTGTGAAATTATTCTATCAGAACGCGGTAGAGAATTAATTCTACACAAAACAAATAAATACAGATTTAGGCGAGGGCAAAAAGACGGGTATATAAAATGGTTATGTACAAATAAAGACTGCAGTGCAAGTATATTAACGATACCAGACAAAAAAATCATTCTATACATTTTCTGATGAGCATATCTACGCTAAGAACTCTGTACAAAAAATCGAGCGACAGATATCCGAACGATAAAATGTATAATCGTTGTATGTATATAGACTGCGTCGCACAACTTGGCAGCGTTTCACCAAATTTTGACCGGAACCGTGTAATTTTTTAGGTGAAATATAATAACTTTTTTCATACAGTCATGGTCCGCAATTGTGTTGCAAAAAAATGCAAAAAAGGTAAAGCGTCCGCAATCGTGTTTCACTCTAAAAATGTATCTTTTATGTCTCTTAAAAAACTTTCAAACGTATTGGTTGGATTGACTGAACGCCACCATTCTTCCTGTAATTGCCTTTCGAGTAGGTTTGTTGTAACACATGATCTTAGATTGTAGTTGACCTTTAGGTGTCTCCATAAACACTCAATTGTTTGAGTTTGAGCACCTGTATGTGGATCTATGAAGTTCTTACTATGGTTAACAGTTTGCCGTTTGGTAAAGAAAACCGTGATGTTTTAAAGTTTTGTATGCTCTCTCATCTAAATGAACTATTGGTCCTGGTTCTATTTCTAGAATTATTATTGAGTTGCAAGTAGGTACATAATGTATCCTGTTGCAAGTCATTGATCGACGTTGCAAGTTCTTGCTAGCTGTTGCAAGTACTTTCTAGCGGTTTTAAGTTCTTGCACCCTGTTGCAAGTCCTTGCTCGCGCCAACCAATGATTAGTTTAATAACAAAAGATTAATCTTTTTTAAATGTTCATGTTTTTATAATAATTGTCGTCATAAGAAAACAATACGTATAAAATAAAAAACAAATACAATTTAATTTAATAATTTTTTTTTAATATAATACAGAATACTCAGCCTTGTAAAAAATACTTTTAAAAAAGTATTAAGATACTAATACTAGTATTCGAATAAAAAAGTATTAAAAATACTTTTAAAATACTATTATAAAAGTGTATTTTACGAATACTCACAAAGTATTTGAATACAAATACAAGTGTTTTTTTTTATTTTATACTATACATAATACCTATATAATATACATATATAATATGTATATTGTACATCAGTCATCAGTATAGGTATATTTACCTATTATGTTATTACTTACTGTAGATTTGAACAATTATTAATCACTATAGTCTATAACATGTCTGACTATTTAGAGATAAATACATGTTCACGTATTTCATTCTGAATTCAGATATATTACAACTAAATACTAATATTGATTAAATTTTAATGAAAAAAAATAAAAATAATAAGTGGTATTAACTATAATTAATATGGAACTATTTTAAAATTATTAGATTTTCAGTTTTCTTAAAAAATTCCAATACAGAAACCATATAAAATTAATAAAACGGATTTATGGTATTTTAATACAAGTATTTAAATTTTGTTAAAAATTCTTTTAAAAATTATTCAAAATGCTTAAAAAATACATTAAAAAATTGTATTTAGAATACCATATAAATACTTCAAGATAACAAGACTGCCTATACTCTATTCAGAATAAGAACAGCCTTCGGCAGAGGAGTTGTGCTCATAGGCGCGGCTTTGTTCCGTGGCAGCACTTGACGCGCCTCTGTAGTGCGGACGAAGTCTGACCGTCGCGAAACGAAAACTAGTCGCCTGGCAAGGCTGTTCTTATTCTGAGTATAGTTCTAATTCCGCCAATTTTGGGTTAAGAATACAAGTCGATAAGTAGATAAAAATTACTTAAAAAAATCGATCAATCCAAAAATGTTATTCAAAATAGGGGTTACCATTAAAAAAAATGAAGTTGTATTGCGCTTGCAATGAAAATATTACGAGTTAAAAAAATTGAAAGTCATTGGGATTAATGATCCATGCGTTAGTCTAATTGAATGTCCTACAAACAGAATTGAAAAATATTTACAGCGGGCAATGAGTGATAAAATGTTCCCTGTTTCCGTGAACACACTGTATATATTTTATTATAACATAGCTATAGTAACATGAAAGAAATGGTAATATTAAAAAATAAATGATTGATTTTTTAATAACTAATTTGTAACTGATAAATATTATAATTTAAAAATTTAAAGATTAAAATTAATTTTATATGGCATACTATTATGTCGATGATATAGATGCATCTTTGATTGTGGTGCACATGCTACAGTCGTGTTCAAAATACTTCCCTGTACCCACGATCGTCGATGGCGTAGACCTGAAATATAAGATTAACACTTTGAATAAATTATACACGATATGGGTTGACGATAAATTAAATAACAGCTCGTATCAGTCCGAAATATATAAAAGAGTTTGTGGTGAATTTATTATTATAATTTTCTATTTCAAAGAAATTCTTATCCGTCGAGCAAGCTAAAATAAGAAGTGTATTATTCAACATTCATGAACTTTATTAATCAATTTATATTTGTTTTTTTTTTAAATTAAGAAATGTTTTTTGGAAACGTATTTCGGCATTTACCATTGCTGAATTCGTATACACCCGATGGCGAAATCAACACTGAAATGATGTGGGAATTGAAGCAGCTATATCCAGTTTACAAGGTATTTTCGGCATTTTTGAATTTAAGTGGTTTTGACGAAGAGAAGCTAATGCCATATGTAGACGAAACATTCATTAACGCTTTGATACGACGGATGGACAACAGTTTTGTGGAAACCGAAAGAGATTGCGTGAAAGAGATATTATTTCTGCTGTTTAAGAAGACTATGTACCTGAAAAGATACATACTTCAAGGTACTATAAACTCGCTCTTAGATTATGGTCATATATCAATCAACATGGGGATTAAAGAGTTGCTGGAACTGTTCAAAACTTTAATGTGTCACAGATTGATCGAGTCACCGATGATAGCTAAGGTTGTAAAACATTAAAACGGTATTTTTATAGACTATAGATAGTTATATCAAGGGATACGAAGTGATTCTTTTATAGGTAAACACTCATTTTGTCGGAAAGTATTTATGTTTTTGAAAAAATTTTTTGATGAGCGGAGTTTTAGTCAACCAACGTCCAACATATTACGACGTAGCCACGTAGGTATACTCGTGTCACTATCGGCACTTAACTCCGCTTATTTCAAATATAAATAATTGCCATATTGGCAACCATTTATATAAACAAAAAATATTAAATTTCCTCATTTCACCAACCCCTATTTCATTCCCTTCAAGTTTCAAGACAAAAAGTAGTTTATGTTTTTCTCCAAGGTCTCGTCTATTTCTATATAAAAAATTATTGAAATTGGTTCAACAGTTTAAACGTGAAAACGTAGGTAACAGACAGCTGACAGACCGAATTTAAAATTTATAATATTTGTATGGATTTATGACTTTTATGTAGGTAGTAAGTATAATAATATACAGATTTCATAACATTAAAATAAAAGTAATGAATAATGATCAATATTTAATATAGGTATTAGGTACCTATATTTTACTTAAATAGGCTCCAGTCTGATTATGAGTTATAGTTTTTAATCCAATCTAAAATGTATATTATATAATTTTACTAACACTGATTTAACGTAATATAGGTACCAGGTACCTATCTATATGTAATATTTTGAATCTCTTATTACTTATTAGTTACATTCATATTATACCTACTTATACACATTATTATTAAGTTCAAAAAGCTCTAATAATTATGAAATACAATACCTAATTAAAATTGAATGTATTAGGATATTATATGTAATGCATTGGGTTCAGGATTCTATTGCTTTTATTTAAAAAAATCTATTGAAGTAGTTAGGCTAATGGTATCCGAAACATTATTATTTCCCCCTAGTAATATTAAAAGGCGGAAATATTATTTCCTGGAGTCTGCTAGACCAGTAGGCATGATGGTTATAAAAAGTTATTTTTATACCCAATAGGTAATAAAACGCCTTTCAATGTTCTCAACCATCCGCCCGAGGTACAAATAATTTAATTATGTATATTATATATAGGACATAGGTACCGTATATTAGCTACCATAGGCGTGTCCAAACCTCATCCACAGGTCATGCACAACAGTGGCATATTTAGGGGAGGGTTTACTGCACCCTCCCCCCCAAAAAAAAATTAGATCAAGGTATGGGAATATGACCCCCAAATTTTGAAATAAGCTTTATCATCTGATAATAATTAAATCAGTTTTACTTTTTTATTAGGGATAAAAAACAATATTCTTTTTATCAGATAAATAAATAACTAGGTAGGTTATATGAAATTATATGTTTAGTAACTTTAATACTAATAATACTTTTTATAAATGTTTATTTTTACGTGATGAAAATCAAAAACTTAATACAAAATCAGAAACTTAGATAAAAATGTTTATAATATTATGCACCGCAATTTATAATGTACCTAAGTTGGATCAAATTTCGCAGGTCATTCCTGTGCATGCCAGGCATAGCCTGTAGACACGCCTATGTTAGCTACTTACTAACTAAACAATATAAAATATAATTATAGTCAGTGCCGTAGACAGGAATTTTATATGGGGGGGTTTATTATAATAATAACATGTTATAGTACTGTTACATGCAACAGTAGCTTTTCTGATAGGAAAGTGAATCTAGTTGGTACTTTGGGGGGGGGGGGGGTCAAAAGTAAAAATTTCCCAGTAGTTTTCACAAGCGCCGGGAAAAACAACATAAAAATTAAGGAAGAACGGGAATTTTTACGCAAAATCGGTTTTCCAAAAAATCGATTTTGGTTTTTAGTGTAATTCTAAAACAAATAAACGGATATACATGAAATTTTCACTGGTTGTTTATATTTGCATTTTCAAACACGATAACATTTTCAAAATATTTTGATTTACTTTGAACTGTTTAGGCACATTTTTATTTTCCATTTTTTTTTTAGTTTTTTTTCTAAAAATATCAATACAATTTTATTTGTTGGTTGCGAAAGCTTGAAAATTTAATAGAAGGCTCCTAGTATATTGTTTCAAAGGCAGATGAAAAATATTAAAAATCCTTAGTCACAATTTTTTTTTATAAGCATTTAAAGTTCAAAAATTGACAAAATATGGAAAAATCATGAAAATTAGCAAATTATTTTGAGTTAAGAATTCGTAAACATTTTTCTTTTTAAATCTAAGATTTGAAAATGTAATACAAGATTCCTCATAAGATTATCTACATTTATCAAAAAAAAATGTCTATAAGAAAGTCAAATTAAATTTTTAAGAGCGTTTGAAATTCAAATTTTTACAACATTGGATATTTACTCGATTTCTCATGTAGCGATTTCCTTATTTTGTTGTAATACAAAAACCAATAACTGTAGATACATGAAAATTTCACTGAATGTTTATATTAGAATTTCCTATACACCATACAATTTTGAAAATATTTTGACTCTTTTTCAGCTGTTTGACTGATATTTCAAAGTCTAACATCTGAGGCAATTTCTATTTAAAAATATAACTATAGTTAAAAAAATGAACATTAAAATTGAATTTAAGGCATTCATTACTTGAGCTTCTTTGAACATTTTTTTAAATTCATGATCTACATTTTCCCTTAAATTGTCAAGAACCTTGATACTGATATTGGCCAAACTGATCATTTCTCTCAAATCTATGTTTTTTTTAGCACGGTTTTAACTTTTAAAGTTTTAACTATAATACTGATAATACCTTATTAATATGTTATCTTAAATTTCAGTATTATCAACATGAACATATAATAAGATTATCAATTATCACAGTAACAAAACGGTTTTGGTAATGGTGATTTGTCAATTTGTCATTGCGACCATTAGACGATACACAAAATACCTTACTTATATCCGATAACAACACAAACATCTAAAATATTATTAATAACTATTATTGATAAAATTTTTTTTAAATATATAAGATATATTAGTAGTTTTAAATATTTGAAATAAATTTATAAACTTTCCAAGGGGGGGGGGGTTTGAACCCCCTACCCCCCCCGTGTCTACGGCCCTGATTATAGTATAGGTACCTTCATTTATGGAGTAAATTATAATGCGTAGGTACCTATAGTGTTGGGTGCATAGAATTTACGAGCGGTTAGTGGTTATCTACCTACCGAGAATCAATGTTGTACATTTATAATACATAATACATATTATGTATATAACTATAAAATATAATATAATACATCACTTTTGATTGCATGTACCTAGTCATGTAGATGTAGACATGTAGTCTATTGGCACTTGTTTATGGACGTGCAAATGTGCAAATGTGCAATATGTTACAAATTATGATACCAAAATAATATGACAATAAACATAGGTATAATTTAAACCTAATAGTGGAAGGTGGAACATTATTACGTCTGTTTAGGTGGACAAACACATTTGGACTGTGGATTTTGGTACACCATACCTTGGACTGTTTTCCCCATAAATTGCGTATTGAGCTCGTTGAGCCCAACACTAGAAACATTTTCACGGTCCAAGTAGGTCAAGTAGGATCCTGTATTATTTTAATTTAAAGATTTATATAATTTTATTATGTACAATAAAAATAAAAAAAATGTGACGGGTAAAGATGAATATTATACTTAATCCACACAAGTTATTCTTAGTAAGGTTCAGTGTCTTATTCTAAGAAAATTAAATAAATATAGGTAGATATTTAGAACATACAAAATTGTTGACAACTATTAATTTTCTAAATTAAAGTGTTGTACATTTAAATGTACATATTTTAAAAATTCACTCCACCTCAATCGGCTGTAGGTGCATAATAATTTAATACTCTCTAATACTAGATAATTTAAGGTCCGTTATACCTCAACACTGACAAGTATAATTTAAATTTCAAAATTATTCAGCGTTACTTGTAGGTAGGTACGTAATTGTATTACAACAATTGTGTGCTAGGGTCTAACCTCCTATAGGTATAACATTACCCAGTGGCGTAGATATGATTTCTGAAAGAGAGGATAAAAAAAAAAAAAACGACATAGCTAATAGGAGGGAAAAATTGGAAAATCCCCCACTCTCTCAAAACTTTTTACTAAGGTAATAAAAAGCCAATAGGGGATCTGACCCCCCCCTCCCCCTCGTCTACTCCACTGACATTACCGCATGCACGGACATGGAAAAATCGTATTTTTGAGTGTGTACAGAATTTGTTTTTGGCTGTACAAAATAAATAAATTATATAATACTGAATAATTTTGAAATTCAAATTCGTATTTGGCGATGCTGGAGTAACGGACCGTATACTTTACCATTGTGCTTTTATACTTACTTTGACATATTCGTGGTGGTACCTATTAGCGATGCCGTTGACTGTTCCAGGTGTTGTCGCCGTTAATCAAACGTAAAGGGCTGTGCCATTACGCGGGCCGATTACACGAGTGCTTTGAAACGGCCGCCCGTGAAGTGGACGCCGGCTTGGGCGCGTTTTTCGTGGACAACACTATCGATCAGTGGTGTGCGTCCGCGGCCGACGTGCCGTCATTGTGCCGGACGCTGGCGGAGTTGTACTTTGAAGCTTGTGGCCCGGAAGAGAGGCGGCAGACTCGCCAATGTGTAGTCGGCCACGTGGGCGGCTGCCTGTTAAAAGTCGCGGCAGTGGCTGTCGTGGACGGTATGACGGTGGCCGCGTGTCAGGCATATGCCGAGTTTTGTGGCCGGCTGATCGACGACGCTGCCGCCGCAAACGAAGATCAAACATGCGGCGACAGTAACGCAATGGAGCGCATGGCTGAAGGGCTGATCGCTGTCCACCGGGGCCACGGTGACTACGACTGCGTAGAACACGCCGGCCGCCTACTCAGGCGATTGGTCAGCGACGAACGGTGTTTGGTCGGCGACGTCTGTCGGCTGGTCGTGCTACAAGTTCTGGTTGAGGACCGACCGCGGACGATGACCGAAAACCTTGTCGACAACACGTTTTAAACCATTTTAAACGTGTTTCGAACTAGAATATATTAATTATAGCTGGTAATCGGTGGACGCAGCGTGTGTTTGCTTACTCAACACATACCTATATTGATATATTAGGTAGCTATATCTAACAACGATCATATAATATCTATTATTTAAAATATTACATAATTCGTTCATCAGCTTTGTTTTCGGTTTCAAATCAATGGTTAAGTGTTTTAATAAAAAAGCATATTTAGACATTTGAGTTGAAGCGACTTAAATATAAGAATTGTTCTCGTGACGGAATAAGGAATCTGAAGGGTTTTCATATTTAGACGGCTAGTGTATGTTGTAAATTAGGGTTCCGAAATGCGGAACAATAAAATGGCAGCCAGCGGGGGTTAAGTGTAATATGTTCTTTTAATTGGACAGATGGTTTGCATTTGTTCTGCGCTCTACAACGGAAATCCAGTTTTATGCATTTGTGTTTTAATAAACCATTTTAGTGTATAATATCCACAACTTATGTTGTACCATATACCTATATGATTATATGATTATACTCAATGTTCGTATAGATACTTATCATTAAACTAAAATAATCAAACTTATTTCATTAAAAATATATTTATGTTCAAATTATATATTGTGCTAAAATATTATGTTTTAACATCAAAAAAGTGCTTGATATAGCGTATTAGTATTATCTTTACTCGTTAAATTATAACTGAAAATTAAAAATGCTTGAAAAAAATAGGCGTGTTAATGTTAATTGGACCATTATTATTATAATATTGATATTTGTTTTATAGACAAAGATTATTGTTAATGTTTTGGGTTTAATTATATTAGTTATCGCGAGTTACAATAACGATTAGCAGGGCTAAAATGTACCTATATGCATTGGAAAATGGTGTATGTTTTTTTTTCAGCTTTCTTTTACGGATTTGGTTATAGTTAGGTTCACAAATATATATCCATAAAAATGACCTATTTTTGTTTTGAATATTATAGCATATTTTAACTATAGCTAAACACGATAAATACTTGTTTTATGCAATGTATTTAAAATTTAAACTAATAAGTTTTGTGAACAATTTCATAAATTTAATAATTTTGTCGTTGGTGAATGTTATGTAAAAATGATATGGATTTATTTAAGAGTACATATTATATGTAAGAGTGTAAGACTAATAAAAATTATTTAGCTTAAAAAAACAGTAACTTTATTTAATCTCTTTTAAAATGTTAAGATTATGCTTCTTTTTCATTTAACGCTAATTTGGAAAATATTGATAAATTCATTGTATATTTTATTATATTTTTATCGCATATTTTAGCTTATTTTAACACAAGTCACAACTCTAAATGCATATATTTTACTATTTTATAGAGTGTAAATAATAATTGTATAAATCTTAGCCCTAAAAACAAGGGAAATTGAACCAATGAAGATACAATTATAGGTAACCACTATGGCCCTGCTTATGACATATAATATAATATAAATGCATACATATATATAAATAATATGTTTATATGACATAGGTACCTATAAACTTAATATTATGTGTACTCAACTGTAAGCCCGGCTACAATATTGCTTGTCTTTTTATGTTTTTTTTATTAAAAAAAATAAAACGCTCATCGATATATCGATATAATAATAATAATATTATATTATATAATAATATTAGGAGGTATCATGCAGTACTCCGGTATAATACATCGCCACCGATCACCGTACAGCAGTACAACTACAGTATACGACACGTTTTGACGGTGGCCACCCTGTATAGCGGGATATTTGAATCCCTACCGCTTATTCTGCTGCTGTTTCCTGCGGAACCGAAGCTCCTCACGCACGTTTCGTTCAGTCGTGCGTGTGTGCGGTCTCGTGTTCGCGCTTACTGTGTGTCATTCGTTCGATCGGCCCCGATTTTTCTACATAATATCATTTAGTAAAAATTATAATAATTCTGCTATAAAAATCATATATTACCTCCATATTATAACGAAATGCTAAAACTACAGTTTGTACGTATGCTGTTCGGATTATGTCCATAAGTCATTTCGTCCGACGTAAAAGCTGAATAATAAGTATGTACCTGCTATAAACCATTTATATAGTATTTATGTGTGATTAATTCGCAGACATAGGTATAGTATAAAAATAAAAATAATACTATGAGGTACACTATATAATATAGATTTACCGACTCCCATACTATACGGCCTATCTATGAATCAAACCTGGAGAGGTTTATTGTACACCCCGATATTTTAAAATAAATATATTAAACAGAATATTATGTAAGAAATTTACGATTTTTTTATTGAAAAAACTATAATTGTAAACTTAGAAATATAGAATGTTAATAACCTTTATATAGGTAAGGTAATAATAAGCTTTTTTTAAACCGTAGATTCGTGGTATTTGTAGAAATAGCTACAATTGATTGGTACATTGGATTTATGAGAAATAAATTAATGACTTGCACTGTAGAGAATTATTCTGAGGTAGGTACTACCAGCTATAGTAATATAAGGTTATTACTTATATTATAAAGCGTATTAATGTAAGCCACATAAACTACGGTTATACCTAATTAAATAAGATTTTTTATAATGAATTGCTTAATTTTTGATTAACTCGAAGGTTTATCTGAATGATGTTACTATTATTTACTTTACACTTATTATAGGTACCTACTATTCCTTATTTACTTTAATTTTTCAATGTGTACATTTTTAAAATTTTACTTACAAATTATTAAATATATTTACGAATGGTTAAAATTGTGATAAAATTGTTTGGTCCTCTATACCATATTTAATATTATAATGTAATTCATTCAATATTTTGTACTTGTCTTATATTTATCAAAGGCGAGAAATGCATTACGAGATCAAAAGAATTGTTAAAAGAATCATACGAATATACAACAATTATTCTTCTAGCCTCAGCTTTTATAAAAAAAACCTTTCATGTTAAACTACATATATTTATGACACCCTAGTAGTATTTCATAAAAAATTCGAAGTGCACTCGAATAAATATCACTTGAATCGTTTTTTTTTTTGTAGATTTTAATAAATATTTATTCATTTAATTTTTCTTTTATTACACAATATCAGTTTGTTTTAAAAGATCTCAGTTAATCCACTCTGATGCGAGGATAAAAAATACGGAAAAAAAGTTAAATAATTTTTAAAGTTTTAACATAATGTCCATGTTCGATGTAGTTGCATAAATAAGTAGGTACCTATAGTACTCAGTAGCTAATAAATACTTATGTGAGTCCCATACACATATATATGTATATATAATATATATATTATAATATTATTATAGACAATCACCTCTACGTTTTTATTTTGAAGTTCTCAATTACATTTTAAAATACACACTCAGAACGTTTTGGACAAAATCTGATTTAAGAACTGAAATCTTAAGTAAAATAATTATTAATAATAAACAACAATATTAAAATTATTAATAAAAATGCAGTGTTAATTTATTACTCATACACTTGAAAATTGAAAGATTTTTTTTAAAAAAAGAAAATAGAATTAAAAATGACCAATATATAATGAGGAAGTATATGTTTACGTAATAAAATCTGGTGATTTTTCTATTCTTTTTTTAAATCAATGGTACGCGAGGCCTGTAGAATCATATAAACAAATTGCCTGCATACCTACAATGTCAAAATATACAAACATTTTTATAAATAATATATACAATATTACAACTGTAAACTTGTGAGTTCATAAAACAGCTGAAACTTAATCGAATTCCCAAAATACAGTAAATAAAAATACAATTTGTAAATATCTATATGGTATTTCGGTAATTTTACATTTTTACATATTATTTAACTGTAGATGATCTACGTTAGTATATTATTAAATATTGTGTATAGGATGTAGGTATCTACTGTAGTTTCAAATCATTACTATCCACAATATCTCTTCTAAATTATTTATTTGGCTATTTAAGTACCTATTTAATAATTTTAATACCTATACTGTTGAAAACATTAATAATAGGTACATTAAAAAAATACGACGATTGTGACAATGATTAGTTTTTGACGAATATCGAGTTAAAATTGTTTAAAATTAGAACTTTATTTCTAAGACTTAAGAGTATTAGGTATATTAATCGATACTCAACGTGCTCATGCTGTACGTATATAGCTAATAAATAGGAACCTAGGGATTTACTATTGTTTTTTTGAATCTGTCTGCAGGAAATAAAGATAATTTTGGATGCTTACAAACGCTTAGTATGATCCCCCGCAATGTAAATATAATCCGCATTCGATCGACTTTACATATACATATTTATATACATATATATAGAGAGAAAGAAAGAGACCGGAATATAGAGTAGATAGACTGTCTATTTAGACGGATTGGAACACAGAAATATAAAAGAACTTTTCAAGAAAAAATATATTCATACACATATAAGTTAAAACTTAAAACCAATAACTTACTTGCTCCGTGAAAAATCTAACTTACAAACATAATATAGTATATATTATACAAATGGTAACTAACCCTTTCTCGGTATGTTACCAGAAAAATATTTTAATATAGATATAGGCACTGTATATATATGTCATACTATACAATATACATGACTACATGAGTATCAGGTAGGACGTAGGTAGTATTTGTAGGTATTATACCTACTTAAAACATCAAATTGAAAAATTACTAAATAATATTATCTACTTGTAATTTGTTCAGCGTTGTACCTAAATGTTGCAGAAGTTCAAAACACTAGTTAAGGTATATATAATATTGTTATCTCCCTTTACCTATGTTTTGAATTTTAAATTTTAAAGTATACTTATTTAGTAAAGAAACATGGTCCAATATTTTTTAATGAGCATTGAAATTTTACAGTATCTTTGGTTTTTTATTGTATACATATATGTCTAAGAAGATATGGTTTGCGTCTTGGTCTTGATAATTATTTAAAAATGATGTATTAGAGGTTATTATTAATGTTATTT